GATGACGCATCGGTCTAGAAGATCCCGAAAAACCCTGTTCATGGTCAGTTGGAATGTTGAAGGCGCGTTCGTGAGGCCGAAAGGCATCACCAGGAATTCGTAACTCCCGTAGCGTGTGCGAAACGCGGTCTTGTGACAATCGTCGGCGAAGACCCGAATCTGGTGGTAACCGCCACGTAAGTCGATTTTCGAGAAGTAACGAGCGCCGCGAAGCTGGTCAAGAAGGTCGTCGGTGCGTGGGATTGGGTAGCGAGACTTGATGGTCACCTGGTTCAACGCGCGATAATCGATGCACATGCGAAGCCCACCGTCCTTCTTCGGAGTGAACAGGATCGGTGCCGCGAACGGGGAGGTGCTCGCCCGAATGAACCCTTTCTCCAACAGTGCGTCAATTTGTCGGCGCAGCTCCTCGAGTTCCGGCTGGGTCAACCGCCACTGTGTTCGAACCGTCGGTTGCGCGCCAGGCTCCAGCTGGATTTTATGGTCTTCTGGTCTCTCGGGTGGCAGCCCAGGTGGCAGGTCGTCCGGGAAAATGTCGGGGTACTGTCGAATCAGCTCCGCTAAATCCGGAGGTACAGCTGCACACAGCTTCTCAATGTCCTTTCCGTCGGTGTCGACTGCCAACTCGCGTAAGCAGACAGCGAACAGCTGCGCGCCCTTGTTGAAGTGGCGAGCTATAGTGATGGCTTTGACGCACGGGGCTTGGATGTAGTCAGGTGTCCATGCAGGCAGCCGAATTAGCCCCTCGTGCTTGCTGATGTTGCACGATCCCGTTGTCCAGTCGATGACGGGGTTGTGTCGTCGCAGCCAATCGCGTCCCAGCAACACGTCGCAGCCGTCCAATGTTGTCGCGAGAAACTTCATGCTGAAGCCGAAATCGTCGCCGCATTCGATCCTGACCGTCCGTGTTTCTTCCGTTATCGCCAGAGGCGTCCCATCCACGAGGCGTGCGTCGATTTCGGGCAGACACCTGTCAAGTTGCAGCTTGCATCTTTTTGCGCTCGCCAAATTGAAGAGGCTATGGCTGGCCCCTCCATCAACGAACATTTTCAAATTATTTTTTAACACCTTGCCAGCGACCAGCACAGGGTGATCCACATGATTATCCCCGTTATTCGGCCGAGTGCGATCGATTGCATGAATCGGAACCACGACTCGGTGGGGATGATGGTGTTCGGGCGACGGAGCACAGTCAGTAAAGGGGCCGCTAATTACTGACTCTTCCCATTTCCCTGCTCCTTCCTATCGTCCCCTGTCAGCGGCATGTTCTCCTGGCAGTCTTTCCTGTAGTGACCCACCTTCCCACACCGAAAACACTTGTCAGAATATGTTGTTTGTGTAGCCTGCAGTGGGGTACTCTATAGTGAGTACAGCCCCTTAGGGTTTGCTATTTGTATCCTGCTGCTTGCTAGTTCAATCATTCCTTCTCAATTCTGTTCCTACACACATTCCTAGCTCGTACTTGGCTCCTCGTTACTAGTCCTACTGTGGCCTAGGCTACTAAGCCTAGGCCGTACTCCTACTACTTCTGATATGGTATCAGAGGGCGGCATGTCTGCCGCCTTCCTGTGTATGGGCCCACCACCCGCTTCCGCTGCCGTACTGTCCGACGCGCGCCCCGTGGTGCGCGGCGGCGAAACCCTAATTTCTGCCCGCCGCGCGCTCGGGGCGCCTGGCGGTTTTCCCTTCCGTGGCGCCCGTCGTGGTGCCCTTGGGGGGGCCTCCGCGGTCCCCTCCCGTCGAAGCGCCCGTCGAGGCGCTCTCGGGGACCCGCGCGGCCTCCCCTCCCGTCGCCCGTCGAGGCGACCTCGGGGACCCGCGCGGCCTCCCCTCCCGTCGCCCGTCGAGGCGACCTTGGGGGCCCGCGCGGCCTCCCCACCAGTCGCCCGTCGTGGCGACCACGGGGGCCGCGCGCGGTCCCCTCCCGTCGCCCGTCGAGGCGACTTCGGGGGCCGTGCGCGGCCCTCCCCGTCGCCCGTCGAGGCGACTTCGGGGGGCCCGCGCGGCGTCCTCCCCGTCGCCCGTCGAGGCGACTTCGGGGGGCCCGCGCGGCACCCTCCCCGTCGCCTGTCGAGGCGGCTCTGGGGGCTCGTCGCGGCGCCCTCCCTGGTGCCCGTCGCGGCGCCCCGGGGGGGGGCCGCGCGGCTCCCTTCTCGTCGCCCCTCGGGGCGCCCTGGGGGCCGTGCGTTTTCCCCCCCCCCCCCTTCTGCCTTTCAACTGCGGCGGCCGCCCCTGGAGCCGCCCGCCACTGCAGCAGCAGCTCCTGGAGCCGCCCGCCACTGCAGCAGCAGCCCCTGGAGCCGCCCGCCACTGCAGCAGCCGCCCCTGGAGCAGCCCGCACCTGCAGCAGCCGCCCCTGGAGCAGCCCGCACCTGCAGCAGCCGCCCCTGGAGCAGCCCGCACCTGCAGCAGCCGCCCCAGGACCCGCGCGAGCCGCCTCTGCAGAAGCCCGCCCCGTCCCCCCCCCCCCCCGTGCTGCCCATTGCTCCCATTCCACCGTGCGTTCCGCGGTGGCTGGGGTGTGGGGTGGCGAGCATGGGGGTGAGAGGTGTGGGTTCTCCCCTCCTCCTTTTTCGTCTCCCACTGCTGCAGCTGCCGCTGAGGGGGGTGGAGGTGTGGGAGTCGTGGGGAGTGGCACTAGGGGGGTGATGTGGGAGTGGAGCTAGGGGTGAAGCAGGGGGTGTGTGAGAGGGGTGTGGGACTGTTGGGGGAGGTTGAGTGGAGGCTGCTGTCTTGTCGTCCGCAGCACCTGTAGTCCGGGGCGCACTGTCCTGGTAGCTCAGAGAGCCTGCTGCACCTGTTGCCCGTGGGTCCGTTGCTCCTGCCGCTCATCGCAGCCGCAGAGCCTGTTACTCCTGTATTCCGGGACGCACTGTCTCGGTAGCCACTGAGAGCCTGCTGCACCAGTCGCCCGTGGGTCCGTTGCTTCTGCCGCTCGTCGTAGCCGCAGAGCCAGTTACTCCAGTATTCCGGGGCGCTCTGTCTCGGTAGCCACTGTGTCAGCCGCCACTGTGTCAGCCGCTTCTGTTGCCCGTGTGTCTGCAGCTTCAGTCGTCGCCTCCCATCTTCTCTCCTTTCATAGTCCCTCCTCCTCCTCACTTGCCCTCTGTGATAGCCTCTAGCTTTGCTGATAATTATGAACTATTGCTATGACTGCTCATTGTGCTGATTACACCCCACTTTGGCTATGGGGGTGTGTCAGAATATGTTGTTTGTGTAGCCTGCAGTGGGGTACTCTATAGTGAGTACAGCCCCTTAGGGTTTGCTATTTGTATCCTGCTGCTTGCTAGTTCAATCATTCCTTCTCAATTCTGTTCCTACACACATTCCTAGCTCGTACTTGGCTCCTCGTTACTAGTCCTACTGTGGCCTAGGCTACTAAGCCTAGGCCGTACTCCTACTACTTCTGATAACACTGACCCTTAGGAGGGTGGTCGGGTGTATGGACGGCGTTGATCGTGGCCCGATGGGTCTGGCCACGAAAGCTTCTCCCATCCCTGGAAGCTGCTCTCGCGTACTGCATCAGCGCATCAGTTGACTCCGCCACTCGTACTGCTTCGAGGAACGATGTCGGGCGGCTTCTGCGGACCTCAAACTGTATTTCATATTTAAGGCCGCTGACGTACTTATCCAACCGCTCTGCTTCCGATATGTCGTCAATTTGGTCGGCGAAGCCCATAAATGATGCTGTGTAGTCTTGGACAGAAGCCATCTGCGACCATGCACGCAGCTTCATGCGAGCTTGCTCCGAGGCGGATATGTGCTCGAAGCGATCTCGTAAGGCTGCGCCCCACTCCTTCCACGTGCGTATCTTGGTCACACCGAAGATTGGTTCTGCCACTTGATTAACCACTGTAGAGGTCCCGTCTGCCGCATGTGTCACACCTGTCGGCGTCCCTGTTTCCAAGGTCCGGCGCCACCATTCAAGCGCTGCACCTCGAAGAAGCGAAACCGCGTAATTAATACGTGTGGCGTCGTCATTAACTCCGGCTGCAGTAAAAAAGACTTCGACCCCGAACAGCCACCCTTTTACCGTAACCGTCTTGTCCGTAGGATTAAACGGGGGCGGGTTGGCGGGCTTTATCTTGATCGTCGTCACTGCAACTGGCGCTGCTGCCGCTCGCTGCCTATCTTCTTCTTCGAAGTCACGTGTGAGCGCATCCAGCGGATTGCTCATCGCTTGACTGTTGCCCTCGCCTTCGTCCACAGGCGACTCCTGACGCGCTTCACTTCGCGTCTGGCGTAGCTCGGCGTTTTCCTCCCGTAACGTTGTCTCTTCCGCCATTAATGATTCCATGCCCTGCTTCATTTCTGCCACTTGCGCCATCAGCCGGTTAACAGCCTCCTGATCCATGTGCCTAGCACTACGTCTGGTGGGCAGTCGGGTACCCGTGGCCTCCCGGCAAGTGAAAACACGAACTACCGGAGTCGGGCAGGATTGAATTAACAATCCCTGCAACCAACCGCCGTGTAGTCACTAAACCAACCACACCCGTGCCACCAAACTACCCTCGAAAAGCGGGGTGAACTAGGAAAGTAGCTCTGATACCAGGTGTTATGAGTTGTAAAAGAGAGTGCGCAGGTCAACGAATAACGAGGCTGTGATTGAACGAACTGCGAATACAATGAATGCACAGACTAATGTAGGGCTAGCCTAGCTAGGAGGAAACCTCGGACAAGCGAGGTTGGGTGCAGGTTGGGCGATGGAAATGCCGAAGGCGACGCGAGGAGCATCGGTAGCGTTGAAATCGGCCGAACGTGCGACTCCGAAAATCGGGTTGTACGCGAAGCAGTCAACCCCGATAAGGAATTCGGGAAAATTCCTTACAGAAAAGCTCTAGGGATTGTGCTTATACAACACTGATTCAAACAACCGGAAAGTTCAGATTGAATTGTTCTGATTGGCTATCGCCAACATGAGAATTTTGTTGGCTCCCGCCAAATGAATTTTGGGGCTCATGTCAACCGTCGCACGTCTACGAGCTGCACCCTCACGACCGATGCAAAGCGATCGTTTTGGTCCCCCGGCGAACTTCAGAATCAAGCCGGAACTGGGTTCACAACTCCCTTTTCTCATCCCGTAGTCGCTACTTTCTTTCCTCAGTTTAGCTGAAATAGTAGTCACTTGCGCCCTAGGCACGCCATTTGTAGACTGAGTTTGATAGTGGCATGTAGGGACTTAGCTTGGGTGCGTAATATAGTAGTACGTGACTTGTCGTTGCGAGGCGCTGAAGTATGCAGGAACGGTAACAACGCCGTTCTTGATGTCACTCTGGACAGAAGCATAGGAGACGCAACGAAGATCAACACCAATACCGGTAGCAGCCATTTTGAGGAGGTACTGTGCGGCGGTAGAATAGAATCTGAAGAAGAGGCACATTCCGCAACTCAACAAAATAGTGCCTTGACGATTTATGTTCCTTGACGTTCAGCTTTCAACGAACATGTAGCGACGTCAAGGCGCTCATCGCTTTGACGCTCATCGGTCTCATCGCTTCGTTGTTAACACATCACTTCACTGTTCATTGCTCTCATCGCTTTGTTGCTCTCTCCCCTGAATGTTGCTGTGCGAGAAGCATTAGCCTGTTCAACATCGACTCGAATGTTCTTTTAGCCACACTTTCCACCATTGGGTTCGTCTGATTTTTCGCTCCCTTATCCGTATTCAATTATTCCAGATCTGACTGCACGCACCGCGCATAAGCTTCATGGCACCGATGATGTATGCATGAGATCTGATTTCCATTCCGTCTCGTCCTTCTGTCGCCCTTCCTCTCTCCCATCTCTACGCCCTTCCTTTCTCCCATCTCTACGCCCTTCCTTTCTCCCATCTCTACGCCCTTCCTTTCTCCCATCTCTACGCCCTTCCTCTCTCCCATCTCTACGCCCTTCCTTTCTCCCATCTCTACGCCCTTCCTCTCTCCCATCTCTACGCCCTTCCTTTCTCCCATCTCTACGCCCTTCCTCTCTCCCATCTCGTCACCCTCCCGTTTCTCGTCCCCTCGCCATCGGCATCTCTCACCCTTTCCGCTCGCCCTCGCCCTCCCTTTCCTCCCGTCGCCCTCCCGTTCCCGTCGCCCTCCGTTCAGATCGCCTTCGCGATCTGCTCTCCCATCCCCTTGCCCTCCTGTTTCCTTTCGCCCTCCATTCAGATCGCCTTCGCGATCTGCTCTCCCATCCCCTTGCCCTCCTGTTTCCTTTCGCCCTCCATTCAGATCGCCTTCGCGATCTGCTCTCCCATCCCGTCGCCCTCACGTTTCCCGACGCCCCCACGATCTCACTTCCCATCGCCTCACGATGAATGTCCCCCGTTCCTCCCGTCGCCCTCACGATCCCCCTCAGGAAAGGGAGGCTTCCCTTCCCCTCGCCGTCGCCACGATCTCCCTTCCCGTCGCCCCACTTTCTCCCCTTCCCTTCCTCTCTCCCCTGCCCTCCCATGGCCTTCCACTTCGTCGCCAGCGCACCGTTCCTCTCTCTCCCATCACCCTCTTTCTCTTCATTCGCATCACCTTGCCCTTCATCATTTTCCTCCATTCTCCGTTATTGTTCTCACAGGCCCCAAGTCCAAGGCAGCACATTGCTAGATGCGAATTTGGTGAAGTATGTGGCTCTCATCAAGTGTGTCTGGTTGGGATTTAGAGCGAGATGTTGATGGATGTGAAATTGGTGAAGTATCGGCTCTAGTAAATGCAGGAGTGCACGTCGCTAAACTTTGCGCCAAATTCGCACACGTACATGTGAGAGATTCTAGCTGCCAATCAGAATTGAGAAAGAACTTTCGTTCGTGGTCCACTACGAAACTCGTATGAAGGATGAAAAAAAAACACACACAGCACTTCAAACGTAACAAAACAATACAAAAAGACTTCAGTAATCAAGTTGGGCCCAACTAGAAGGGGGGGGTCACTATTTTAGCTACGGGCTTTAAAGCGACGGTGCACATTTGCCACCCGAAACCCCAAACCCTGGCGAACTGTTACTGCAGAGGAAAAGTGTCAGCACGAAATCCAGGTTTTCGCCAGCCAACACTTTCGCGCTGGCAAGCCTGGTTCAAAACAAAAACTTCTGAACCTCCGCCAGGCAATAAGTATTCTACATGGTCTGGAAAATCATACGAACCTAAAACCCTTGTCTTACTGTGATAATGAACGAGAATGGATGACTAAGGAATGAGTGTGATACAAATATGAAACCCTAGAATTGTGTACCCCTTAGTATCTATCCCGCTACAGCCTACACAGACTAGACCATATAAGTCCGACACTTGATTTACCCTGATGTGCCAGGTTTTAAGATTAAGGAACACTGTCGCCTCAGGGTTGCCGTTCCGCTTATCGAGGTTTACCCTGAAGCGCGTACCAGCCAGGGCTCTTGCTAGGATTTGGGCCTGTCTGACATACCTAAGTAAAAAAACCGTTCCGTCTGACGTTCAGACGGGCATATTTTTTTGGTCTGATTTTTTGGACGAATGTTAAAGCTTAGTCTGATTCTTCATACGATTCAATTTGCACAGTCTGATTTAGCTAACACACTTGTCTAACATAATCACGCTTGTTTTGTTAATGAACGCGCCCCTGGCGCGGTGCTGACAGCTCGCTAGCTGACAGACAGCTGTGTGGCTATTGAGGGGCACGCACATGACAATGAGGGGCTGCGACGCGAGGGATCAGGGTGGGTGGAGGTGGAGGGACGCGTAGGGAAGGGGGGGCTGGGCTGCGAGACTGTTGAATTATATTGCATATCCTAACTGCCTACAGCTTGCTAGTGTATTAGTTAGTTATTAGGTTCAACTGCTGGTGGTGTACCCTATCCTCTCCCCTATCCTATATCTTGTAAACATTCCTTAGTGAATCCCCTCTTTGCCCAATTCTCTTGCCATGCTCACTCTCGACACTCACGCTTCCTAGGTAAACCCTAAGTTACTAAGTCAAGAGTTAAGAGCGTGTTCTGACATGATATCAGAGAGTGGTCCCTCCTAGGACCTCGTTTTCATGGGCCCACCAAACCCGCGATCTGCCATGGCGACTTATTGTGCTGCTGGCATGGCTGCTACTGCTAGTAGCGCGAAATCCGCTGCTGGCTCGAACTCCGCTGCTTTTGCAGCACCCGTCGCGCTGCCCCCTTTCGCCTGCCCCGTCGCGCTCTGCCAGTGGCGAGCGTGCCAGCGAGGCGACGGCGGGCGCCAGCGCCAGCGCCAACGGCGGGCGCCACCGCCAGCGCCAACGGCGGTCGCAAGCGCCAGCGCGGACGCCAGCGCCGACGGCGGGCGCTAGCGCAAGCGCCAACGGCGGGCGCCAGCGCCAGCGCGACGCCAGCGCCCAGCGCCAGCACTTCCGCCAGCGCCAGCGCATGGGGGGGAGGGGGATGAGGGGGTGGCGGGAAAGCTTCTGCCGCGCCAGCCACCTCCTCTCCTCTCCTCTCCTCTCCTCTCCTCCTCCTCTTCTCCTCTCCTCTCCTCTCCTCTCCTCTTCTCCTCCAGCCGCATCTCCTCCTCTCTCCTCTCCTCTCCTTCTGCCGCATCTCCTCCTCCAGTCTCCTCTCCTATAGCCGCATCTCCTCCTCCTCTCTCCTCTCCAGCCGCATCTCCTCTGCTCTCCTCCTGTGCACCACCACCAGCTTCCTCCTCCTCACCAACAGTTGTGTTTGCTCGTAGATGGCGAGCGACCAGCATCCTTCGCCCTCCGGCTATCCCAGCCCTCCTCCGCGCTCTCCGCGCCCTCCTCCGTCCTGGCGTTCACAGGTGCTGCCGCTCAGCCACCGCTGTTTCTGTGCCTATCCCAGCTACAGCAACCGCTCTCCAGGCGACCTGGTGCCAGACACCACTAGCTATAGCCGTAGGCAGTTACGGGGGTGTGTTGAATTATATTGCATATCCTAACTGCCTACAGCTTGCTAGTGTATTAGTTAGTTATTAGGTTCAACTGCTGGTGGTGTACCCTATCCTCTCCCCTATCCTATATCTTGTAAACATTCCTTAGTGAATCCCCTCTTTGCCCAATTCTCTTGCCATGCTCACTCTCGACACTCACGCTTCCTAGGTAAACCCTAAGTTACTAAGTCAAGAGTTAAGAGCGTGTTCTGACAGAGACATTACGAGGGGCATGAAAGCGGGCTAGGCTGGGAGCGAGACCTGGAGAGACCTCAGGTTGGGGAAAGGGGGAGAAGGGTTGGACAGGACTAGGCCTGGAAGAGGAGCGAGGGCATAGAAGGGGGGGCTGAGCTGGTAGAGTAGCGAGAGATCGGGGGGGAAAGGGAGGGTTGGGGGGAGGGGGATCGGTATCAGACGAAAAACAACTCGTTCTCTGAAATTTCATACTAAGTATAGAGCTTGCTCTCAAATATCAGATGAACTAAAATCAGTCATCTTACGGATCAGACGAAATAAAAAGCATCGTCTTAGAGATCAGATGAAAGCGAAAATCTACGTCTGAAAATCAGACCATCAGACCAATTTGGTCTGATAACGAGAGCCCTGGTACCAGCGAACTCCCTCTCCCATCCCCCGCCCCCCCCCCCCCCCCCCCCCCCCCCCCCCCCCCCTCCCCCCCCCCCCCCCCCCCCCCCCCCCCCCCCCCCCCCCCCCCCTCCTCCCCCCCCCCTCCCGTCCCCTGACCACCCGACCCCGGAACCAGGATTTTCCCTTTGCCAACTGTCGAAAATGTAGATTTCGGCAGGACTTTACGTGTGCTGGAACGAGGTGGGCCACCATTGGCCAGAAATACAGTTTCATTCGAGGCAAGGAGAAAGTGCCGGAGCCAGAGGAGGACAGTGACCACGAGCAAGAACCTTGTGGCATGTCTGATGATGATGATTGAGCTTGTTATTGTGTGCTGTGTTAAGAACAACTGAAACAGGGTTTTGCGAATTGGTACACTGATGCCTCAGGGTAGTCGTTTTAATATATGCAAAAACCCTGACGCATCAGGTTTTCCACAACGGGTAACCCTGAAAATAAGGTTTTTGAACAGGCGCAAGACTGATCGTAAGGGTTGGTCAAAACCAAAAATGAGCCCTGGTCTGAAACTCAGACCATCAGACCAAATTGGTCTGATAACGAGAACCGTAACGGTACCAGTGTTGGATTTGCAACTTCAAGTGTCTTCACAATCTCTTGAGAAAACATCCAGTTATGCATTTAATTAGATAACCATACACCTTCAACGTTGGCAACTTCGCTGTCGAAAGAGCACCGCGCATGCAGCACTATGAAGGTCAGGGCGTGTTACGGTACATTTTTTTGTTTCCGACCGCCTGAACGGCTCTCTGTCTGGACTATTGTAGCACACCGTCGGCTGTTCGTGAAGTGCAGGAATTGGCGCTCACTCCTTATATGGTAACAGCTTTGTTTCATCAATGTATATAAAATATCAGAACGTACACCACACTAATCTAGGTTTGTCAGACTACTGTGGAAAGGCACCAGGGCAGTAGGCACCCAGCTGGTGGCTGGGATGCCACACCGTACCTCACCAACCTAGCACCGCTACAGCAGGGGGAGAGGGGGAAGGGACGGTGTCAAGCAGGCGCTGGTTGGCGTGAGCAGGCGGAGAAGAGGCGCCATGTGATGATTGCCGCCACAATGCATGCTGCCAGGTGCGCACCTGCCACCTCGTACGGCTGCCACCCCAATCCGTGCTCCAGAAAGCTGCGAGGGAAGCCACACACAGGGAGGCATGGAGGATGGCTTAGGGTTTCGGGTTTAGGGTTGGCTGCATTGCTGTGCGTGTGTTGCTTCCCTTGCCAAGTAACATGTGACTGGCTGTGGCACTCCAGCGGCAAACGGCTGATGGACATGAAGGAAGCAGCAGGAGCAGTGCGAGTGAATAGTACCATTGGTGGTGAGAGTCACGGGACAGCATGGAGGTGTGGTGGGAATGCAGGTGGGGAGAAGGGGGGAGAGCAGGGCATGGGCGGACCTGGAGGAGAAGGGCAGTGCGGCGAGCAGAGAGGCAACGATGTAGATGAGCGGCACGAGGGCAGGCGGCTTGGAGCGGCGCAGCCAGAGCAGCGAGGCCAGCGCTGCGAGGGTCACCGTGGACACCTGCTCATGGCATGCACACATGCATGCATGGTGGGTGATGGGGTGCCGGGTGACACGGGGCATGAGGGCGTTGCATAATGGTGATGGGATGCCGGGTGACACAGCGCATGGTGGTGGCGCATGGCATGTGGCACGAGAGGGGCTCATCATGAATAGAGTCATAGACTGGCACGCATGGTGGTGGCGCATGCACGTGGTACGTTTGGGCTCATCACGTACACACAAGCAGAGACTGTGCAGCAATCATGAAGCGGCATGCAGGGAAGTGGAGAGGGGGGCGAGGAGGGGAGCAGGGGGCCGTACGAGTTCGATGTTGGAGGAGAGGGCGTCGAGCAGGAAGTCCCATTTGAACTCCATGCCGCCCGCCCCCACCCACAGCGGCACCAGGCGCTTGCTCACTGACTCCGCCAGTGCCCACCCTGATGCACGCACCACACAGCCATGCATGCACACACGAGGGGCGCGGGAGAGGGGGTGTGAGTGCATGGCATAGATTAACAACGAATGCACACATGCGTCACTCTTTCCATCCACTCCCCCGCCTCCTCACCACCACACTGCCCCCACTCCCACCGCCCCTGCCCTTCTCCCCCCCAGCAGCTTACCGAGGCCCACGGCCTGGAACTTGTGTTCAAAGGCCATGTTGCGGTGGCTCACGTGCACCAGCGCGTACCGCATGCCCGCCAGGTCCACCCCCGCGCCTATCACCGCGCGCAACGCCTCCTGCGCGCATGGGGAACGAGGTCCGGGGTGGGGAATTGGGGGTGTGTGGGTGAAAGGGCGCAGGTGGGACGACGCTTACAGGCACACGGCAAGAGAGTGCAACACGAGGATGGGTATGAGAGAGCGCGGGGAGGAACGGGAGGCGGCTGTCGCGCAGCGTGCGCACACAGGGTGCAGGGCGCAGGGAAGAAGTGAGGGGAGTGGGTGCGCGCACTGCCGCAGAGCCCTGAGGGGAGCGCACCTGGCGCGCGTCTAGGTGCGAAGGGGCGGCGAGCGCGGGGTCGTGATCGAACTCGGGCAGCAGCGACGCCCACAGGATCATCTGCGCGCACAGGGGGCGGGGGGAGAGGGTGGCGGGTTGGAGGCACGGCACAGCAGGGAGAGAGGGGGATTGGCACGAATGCAGGAGCACCACTCCGAAAGGACAACGAGCAACGTGTCATTCCAGCAGCAGCGGCAGCAGCAGAATCGACAGCAGCGGCGGCGGCGGCAACGACGGCGGCAGCATCAGCGGCGGGTGACCTTAAGCAGCATGGCGGCGAAGAAGACGAGCGCCGCCTTGAGACTAGCCGTCCATGTGCCGTACTCCGACCTGCGCGCACGCGCTCGCAGGGACACGCGCAATGGGCAATGCGCAAGGATGACACGGGACAGGAGGGGACGGAGAGAACTGAGAGGGGCGGGCGGGCCATGGAGAGCATAAAGAGACGCAGCAGTGCCACCTCCAAGCATGTGAATCCCTATTTTGGGATGTCTAAAAAAAAGCGGTTCCCTGGCAGGCGGGAGGGAGCGACGTGCGTGGGGAGGCGGAAAGGCCGTTGCACTGAGGTGGAGGGTTCAAAAGGGGTGAGAGCACGCGGATCCGCGTGGCCAGGGGAGACACGAGGTGCGTACGGGTCGGTACAGGAGAGATCGTCAGAGGATAGAAACGGCATGGGATGCAGCGGCGTCGAGAGAGCACGATCGATCGATGGAATGCCATGCGTGTCACGCGTTAACTAGCCGCGCGGCGTCCTTCCGAACTGTATAAACGGTGCACGCGCGTGGCGGATTCGCGCGGCAGGGCGCGCGGGGACTCACAGCGGCGTGGCTTTGTAGAAGATGAGGTGCGGCGCGAAGGAGAGCGCGGCGCAGTTGAAGAAGTGGAAGTACGTCATGGCGGCGGGGAGCAGTACCAGCTATAAGATCCACGAGCGTGGCGGGCGATCGCAGTGGTGCCGTCTCGTGCGCTGTCGGCAATTGCCGGGAAGAGCGCCTGGGACAACTGCGACTAGGACGAGCACGGATCGAGGATTGGCTTCAAAATGATTGTGTGTGCTTTCAAGCGAAAGGGCTGGGCTGTCAGCATCGCAGGCAGATCCAGTTTCGTACGCCTTTGGGGAAGGCCCGGACCAGGTGCCAACCCGAAAAACAAATCTACTGCTGAAGAGATGGTACGGTACATCGAGACTGGTTTGCAAAGAATTTTTATAATGCAATAATCCTGTACAGCACACTAGTGTCATTTTGACTTGCAAAACAATCCGCATTACGGTTGACTAGGGTTAATTGGGCCTAGTACTCTGCTTGCGAGCCATGAAGAGGTAACATACAATCCATGTAGCAGTCGAAAGCCAGGCCTAAGTGTTAGAGCAATATGATGTGAAGTTGCGCACTAGTACTTCTGCGGGCATAGTGCGACCTACGAATCTCCTGAAATACCGTAACCACAGGCGCATCTTGGTGCAGTAGCCTGATGAACATGCAGCAGCAACCTCCATTGAATGACGGCCTTATTCACATGCTGTGCGTCAGGAGTCCATTGCTCGCCGCACAGACATTTCAGCACGCAGCGAGGCGAGGTGAGGCTCGATGGCTGCTTGCACCTGGTTGAATGGACAAGGGAGGGAAGATACGGATACGGAATGAAGAATGAGGAATGAGGCACTATGGCGATGTACAAGGTGGCATACAGGTGAGCGCTGGCATGTAGAGAAGAGCACGGCCATGCAACTCATGCATGTGTGCTATCAGATGGCCCCATGCAACCCCTCGCTCACGCTCCCTCCCTATGTGCTGTTTTCAGAGGCATGATGGTGTCTCACCCATAGCAGTCGCTCCAGCGTGCATGTCATGCCCAGCAGCAGGTTGCGATGCTGCTGCTCCAAGTCCACCTGCATGCAGCAGTCCCACACACACACGAGCACATGGGCACACAGCAGTGAGTGGGACCTTCCCCTTCTGCCCTCATGGATGCTTCTGCAAGGCCACATGACCATTCCACATGCTTCAATACATGCCATGCACAATGCATCGCAACACCAGCGAGCACAACAACACTGAGTATCTCACCACACCCCGCCCAAGCTCCCTTCACCACCTACCATGTCAGCGGCAGCGAAAGAGAACGCCTCTTGTCGCCGGGCCTTGCTGAGTGCTTCGCGCGCCACCCAGTACGGGTCATTCCACGCCCCCTCCGCCCCTGCACCTCCCCCTGCAGCGCTACCCCCCGTGCTCGCCGTCTTCCCCTCACCACCAGACCGCTCCAAGGCCAGGGGACCCTTCATGCTCCGCCACGTTGATTTGGCTGCACGCGGATTGAGGGTGCGGAGGAAGGGAAGAAAAAGGAGGGGAGTCAGGCGGGGGGGACGAAAGGGGGAGAATGAGAGGGATGAGAGAGCATTGGTTTCAGGAAGTAGTCACCCACAAGCAAGTACCCCCATTCCTTTCATCCATGCCAGGAGTCCGATGGAATGGGGGCAGCAGGGTGTCTGTCCACACGTGCCTGCCCACCCGCACTGACCCGCCTGGGCGGTGGTGTTGGCGCGGCGAGACGTGCCGGACATGGCATCGGGGCCAAAGCGCAGCACAGCCGCGGGCAGCAGCGACGCCGCAGCAGAGGGCGGTGGGGCACCATCCCGTGGCCCCCCTGCCCCCTGCTGCTGCTCATGCTGGTTTCCAGAGGAAGAGGAGGTGCGAGAGGCAGTGCCGGTGCGGGCGAGGACAGCAGAGAGCCAGGCGACCTCTTTGAGTTGCTCCCACACGTGCCTCTCTGCCGCGTCCACCTGCCCGGCGTACAGCTGTGCTGCTGGGGCTGGTGAATTGACGGGCAGCGGCGGGTGGTCGTGCAGCGGGTGGCAGAGCAGCACGAGGAAGGGGTGCACACGGCGCATGGCCCGCGGGACAATGCGGTGAGTCGCCTCGTATGTCACCAGGCGAGAGTCGTCTGGCGCAGTGTGCGACGAGTGCACCTGCAAGTGGGGAGGAGAGGGGAGGGGAGGGGAGGGAGGGGAGGGGAGGGGAGGGGTGTGGGTGTGGGTGGGAGGAGGGAGAGGACCCAGGCGATGGGCGTGGGAGTGAAGCCGGATTGCTATGAGGGATGGGCTGCACGAGGCACACTGGTGCATGGTTGAAGCGGCAGCACAACACAGCACGAGAACCGATGACACGTGCCAAGCAATGTCAATACTTGTGAGACAGAAGCGGTGCATGAGGGCAGCAGCATACGGGCGTGCGCTCACCACACAGGAACATCCCACAGGCGCATCTCTCAACACCTCCTCCACACTCCTCCACTCCCCACTGCCTTGCCCCACCCCCTCCTCTGCAACCCCATCTCTGCTCCCTCGCCCCCCACCTCCAAACCACGTCGACCCCCCACCGTCCTCCCCTTCCCCACGCAGCTCCCCTTCCCACGTGAAAGCACCCCCGCCAGCCAACCCTCCTCCCCCCTGCCATGCACCGCTGCCCCCCTGCTGCATGGCAGCAGCGGCGGCGAGCGCGGTGGTCCAGGAGGAGGGCAGCAGGGCGAAGCGCGGCAGCACAGAGGGGGGAGAGGAGGGGGACGCCGCCACGTACGTGATCACGTCCATCAGCTGCAGCATGCGCGGCTCGAACACCTGGGGGGGGCGCGGGGGGGGAGAGCGCGGGAGCGAGAGAGGCAATGAGGAGGTGCTCTCGTGCGACGACAGGTATGGAACGTGAAGGGTACGACGTGATGGGTGCTGGTGAGTGAGTGAGGAGAATGCGTGTGATGCCTTACGTTGAGTGCCCCGGAATGAGTTGGCAGACACACTCCGCTGTTGGTGCACACACACAGACAGACACACACACCACGCACGCACAGGCACGCAGACACGAGGAGAGGGAGGGCGAGGGAAGGTTAAAGGCGGAACAGGAGTGTGTCACGGGGCATGGCACGGCGCCACTGCACAGCCCTGCCACCCTCTATCAACGAAAAGCTCGATGGCCTCACGCTACTAGAACTCCGCCGCTCTCCCAACACGAGCGCACCTGAGGGGGAACACGCAAAGGTACGCGCTGCCCGCTACCGCCGTGCCTTCCCCGTCATCGCCTCCTCCACTTCCCCCGCCTGCTACGTGCGCCGCGGCCACTGTGGCCCTCCTCCTCGCCGCCAATCCCCCCCGCGCGCGCGTCCAGCGCTCTCTGCCGCATGGCGGCAGAGCGGCGGTCACGGGAGGCGAGGGGCGCGAGGGAATGCGCGCACGGGGAAGAAACGGTGGAGCGGGTGAGGCGGAAGGGGGAAGAACGGTGAAGCGGGAAGAATCGGAGAGAATGCGAGGGGGCAGGCTGGGGTTTGAAGAGACGGCGACGGGCGAGACGGGGGAGACGGGGGACGGCAGAGAACAGAGCATGGCAGCGGTGAGTGCGGTGACGATGACGGAGACACGTGCGCGGGTGCGAGCGCAACTTAGAGTGCACGGGAATATGTCGGCCGCGCCAGAGAGGGAAGCTTGACGGAAGCGAGCCAAAAGCGAGCTAACAGGATTGGGTAAATTTGCCCCATCCCGCCACCTATGAAGGCTCGTTATAGGTGCTGTCAGTAGTCAAACGATAGAGACCTTGTAGTGACGTGCGATGACACCTACACTCCAACACTTCAATACTGCGACTTGTAATGTTTGCATGTTTGAAGAGAAATAACCAGTTGTATCTTCCTGCCTGATATTTAATAGTTATTGCAAGATAAAAATTGTGTCAGAATAGATCATCAGGTGTGACCACATTATCACCGTTTTATCCGAAGTTAATTTTTATTATTTTCATTTATGAGACTGTATCGCTCGCTACCTTTCTACATCATCTCAACATTCTAACGAATGTCATTCCTGGATGGCTTTCGTTTGCTTAAAACCCTTGTGTCACACCAGAATTGCAGTGTATCGCTGCCAGCCACTCGCACTTCCGTGCTGCGACAACAGCAAGCACCGCCTTGCGTCTCCGTTTTGCATCCACCTTGCTTCCCGTTTCCTTTCTTCAGTGTGCTTCTCCCATGTCCATGGCGTGCCTTGTCAGCATATCCAACGCTCGCCAAACCGACTTCTTGGATACGTTATTCGCTTCGCTTTTCCTGACAACCAATCAGTAGGCAGTGGGCCCAGCCCGGCGCTCCTTTGCTTCCTCCTCCACCTGCCACCATGAAGATTTTCTTTTTCATGGGGATTTGTTTCGTATTCGCTGAATATCCGAGGCGTTGTTCTTATGTGCTGCACCGATACGCGAAGTGTGTGCCGGGTTGCCAACTGACGCCATCCGCGTACAGAAAATCAGGGTTTCTAGCCCCATGAGCATTTTGGCGCACATGTCAGCAACTTGGTTTGGTGTTAGGTGCTCCGCGTGTGATGCCCAACCTACGCCCCCCCCCGCCCATACAGTCAGACCCTGCTGTCGCGCTGCCGCGTGCAGCGACTCCATCAGGGCTCGCCCCCCTCCGCATCTGGCGGTAGTGCTGTCCTGATGGAATCACGGCTCTTCAAAATATCACGTGTCGTGAATGCTACCGGGCAGTCAAGGCAGCGGGAGATTGCGTGGAACCGTTGGGCGGCCTGATGTGATAAGTTAGACGCTGCCAAGCAGGCAGTGGTCGGAACCACGCACCCTCTCCGCACAGTCCCAAGTTTCCCAACCTCGCTCCGCCTGTCGGCTCAGCAGCTGCGCTCGTCCGACGCCCCCTCGCGTCGCCGACCTCAGCGCGGAACAGATACAGCACCCCTTCCCGGACACTACAATTATCACCAGGCTCAGCATGGAGGTGTATCAGGCCTTCAAACTATCGAGATTCCATTCCCCACCACCACCCATCGCTCCACCCGCAAGACTCTCTTGCCCCTCCAACCACGTATCTCTCGCTCGAGTCACCCCGAATCACGCTCAACCCCCATTTTGCGAGCCTTCTGCTTCCTGTCTTGCTAAAGACTTCCACTTGGACCAAGAAACGCTACTCGTTCCGAATTCTAAGTGCGCATCGCCATTGCTGCTGCTAGTATGACCGGTGTCGACGACTCTCCGTTCTATTCGCCTCTCCTGAGCCCATCCACTCCCGACGACGTCACTTGGCCCTGGAGCACCGTCACGGAATCGAAGCCCAGCGACGCGAAGCCGCCGTGCGACGCCACGGCGACCAGCGAGCTTCGCGTGCTGCCGTGCGACACGCCCGCGCTGGACGCGCTGTTCGCCGTGGCGCGCGAGGAGCTGGGGCGCGGCGAGTTCGGCGTGGTGCGCGCGTGCATGCACCGCGCGACGGGCCGCCTGCTGGCGTGCAAGAGCATGGACAAGGCGGCGCTCCTGGTACGCGCCCTTGCGCCATCCCACATCCCCGCTCTCTCTCCGCCGTGCGCGCTTCTTTCTTTCTTGTAACCTCTCGCTGCCGTTGAGCAGCACTCACTCCCGCTCCCGTTTACTGACCGCGTTGCTTGCGTGTGTGGCTGCTGTACGTGGTGCGCGCGCGCGTGTGTGCGAGCAGGCGAGCGGGCGCATGGAGGACGTGGCGATGGAGGTGCTGTGCATGCGCGTGCTGCCGCCGCACCGCAACATGGTGCGCCTGGCCAGCATGCACGAGGACGCGCGCCACGTGCACCTGGTCATGGACCTCTGCCAGGGGGGCGACCTCTTCGACCTCATCGCCAAGGCCGGCCGCCTCTCACAGGACTTCGCCGCACACATCTTCAGGTGCCGCCCTTCTCTTTCTCTCGCTTTCTCCCTGCCCACTCAACTTCTCCGGGCGTCAGGACCTCGGGCCTGCCGTTGCATTTGACTTTGCCGCCGCTTGCTCCCCACTGCAGTCTGTGCAGCGTGGTCAATGCACTAATTTCCTTGCTCCCGCTCGCTCTTCTGCTCTCCCTCACCCTTACCTTCACCAGGCAAGCGGCGTCAGCAGTGGCGTTCTGCCACGCGCACGGAGTACTGCATCTGGACATCAAGCCCGAGAACCTCCTCCTGCACACGCGCCTCCCCCCGCACTACCTCGCCGCCGCCGCTCCCTCCGCCACACCAGCCACCTCCCCTGCAGCGTCTCCCTCGCGCCGTGCACTACTGGACTCCGTGTGCGTCAAGCTGGCGGACTTCGGGCAGGCGGTGCGCTTGCTGCCGGGGCAGATGGCATGCGGCGTGGCAGGCTCATCCTTCTACATGGCGCCAGAGGTCGTATGCGGCCGCCCCTACAGCACAGCGGCAGACGTGTGGAGCTTGGGCGTGCTGTTATACATCATGCTCGCAGGCTACGTGCCGTTTTGGGGTGCAGACCTCCCTGCCACCTTCCACGCCATCTGCTGCAACCGCCCGGACTTCTTAGCGCACCCGTGGGCGTCGGTGTCGCCGCTGTGCGTGCGCCTCATCCGCTCCATGCTCGCTCTCAACCCGCGTCGTCGCCCCTCCCTGCAACAAGTGCTCGCCCACCCCTGGCTGCGCGTTGCTCTGGGAGAGATTGACGGGCTGCATGTTGGGGGATCACATGTTGTGAGCGGTGCTGCTGATGCTGCTGCACTTGGCGTGTCTGATGCTGCTTGTGAGATGCTGCCTCCTCTGGTTCCTGGGAGCCATGCCAGTGGGTGTGATGGTGCTGACGTGGACAGCTGCAGCACGGGTGTGTGGAGCACGGTGGAAGGAGGAGAGTGTGATGGGAGTGTGGATGATGGGTGGCGTACGGGGAGGAGAGGGGAGGAGGGGGGTGGGAGGAGGAAGAGGGGTTGCAGGGGGCGTGAGAGCTCACCTGAAGCCAAGGCGGGCGCAGTGCAAGTGCTGTCCATGCCGTACCATGCGAGCATGGCGTGAGGCTCAAGACAAGCAACACATGGGGATGACACTATGCAGTGGCAGCACCAAGAGCGCTGTCAGCAGAACCATGGCAGCAAGCAACATTGAGCAGCACAGCAGGAGCGCCTGCTTTTTGGCCTCCCATGTACCATGCGGTATGGGAGTGTCTTTTTTCCTTCTTCCTCTCTGTACAGTTTCAGTCACACATGCCATGTGACATGGCACATCACAACCCATGGTGGCCTCGTAGACCTGCAAGCGGCTTTTTTGGCACCTAGAGCAGCAGTGCTTCAAGCCTGCCTGCTCATGCGTGCAGTATTTAGCTGTCTTGCCTTTCTTTCCTGTATTCCAGACATTGTGCTATTGGCTGCTGGTAGAATAATACAGAATAATATTCCAATTACACCAAAAAACACCTGAGAGTTCACACAATGCCTAGTGCCAGGGCCCATGCCTAAAGCTGCGGGCGCATGGTGAAGAGATGCCGCAGCAGATGCGCAACAACAGCAACGCTCACACTGTTGCCCAGAAGTGCATACCTGGAAAATGGGAGCGCACACACCAACGCACACATGTCAGATGGTTGCAAGACACGCAAGGAAACTGAACCAGTGGCATGGCAAAACTGAGCGCATGTGCGCCCGAGAGGGGACGATGTGACAAGGCAAGGGACGTGCAGTACCTTTGCTTCATGGTGACGTGGGGCGGGAAGGTGAAGGTGCGTGGGAAACTGTGGAGGTTGGCCACCTGCATTGCATGCCATGCACAATGGCATGCCGCACACGCGAGTTCAAGAGCAGGCAGCGTGGTTAGACACCCACACAGACATGTGGTGCTGCTGTGCCGTGGTGCCCCTTGAGGAGGAACACTGGTGCAGCATGGGCAAGGACGAAGGAGTGGCTGATAAGAATAATTTCCAGGGTACGGCTGGCAAGGGAGCACGCACCTCTCTTGGTGTGAAGTAGCGCAGGGGGAGGTGCGTGAGGGGGATGCCATTGAAGCGCACACACGGCTGCTCCTCTGCCGTGCACGGGTGCTCTCTCAGGGCCTGGCAGGTGGGATCATTGCCACCTTCACATGCGCCCTCTGATGCCGCTGCTGCTGCTGCTGGCACCCGCGTTGCCAGCTCCGCTCCCTGCAGAGAATGCAAGGTGAGCACGAGGCGCATGGGGGAGGTACAGGGCGGACGCGCGGAGCACACGGGGAGTGTCTTGTGTGGTGTGGGAGGGAGAGTGAGAGAGGGAGACGGCATGGTGGATTTTGAGAATTCTCAAAAGAGAGCAAGAGAGGGAGACGGCATGGGGGTGGGGCAAGAGGGTGACCTGAGTGAGCAGCACGGAGCCAGTGCCCTTGGCGTACTTGGTGTAGCTCTTGGTGAAACAGTTGCACCGCACCGCCGCTGCTGTCACTATGTCTGCCATGCCACCGCACCGCACCGCACCCCACCGCACAGCACAGCACGCACATGAACCAGAGGTAGTCAGATGATGCGGTGATAGACGGAGAGAGAGCATGAGCATGCAGTTCCCATACAGCACGCCAGGCGACTCACCAAAGCACTCCCCCCATCGCTGGCGCACATCATGCGGCACACAGTAGGGCGCCCATGGAGACGCACTGGGCTGCGCTGATGGCACCTCTGCCTCGCACGCACTCGCCATGCCCGCACCATCGCCATCAGAAGCACTGCTGTCATCAGATTCAGTGGCGTCAGCATCACTGCCAGCAGCAGCGTCAGGGTGCGTGTCAAGGAAATCACCAATGCACCGCGGCTTCAGACCACTCTCAGAGGCGCGCCCCGCACCATCCCCACTGCTGCTGCCACTGTCGTCACTGCAACCAGCCTGCACTGCTGCCCGCTGCTCTCTCCATTCCCCTCGCGCAACGTCCTGGCACAGCCAGAGCAGGTCACGCCATCCCAGCACTCTCGCTGGTCCCACACCATCGCTCCTCACCTCCTCTCCCCCTGCCTCCTCCTCTTCTGCCACTCCCCCCGTCTCCCCCCCTGCCTCCTGCCCCACTGCACCGCTCGCACCTCCACCTGGGATCTCCTCGGACCGACTGGTGCCTGCATCGGGCACAGGTGCAGCAGTGCACGGGGAGGAGGGGCGGCCGGGCAGCGAGTGGCAGAGGGCGGCCGCCAAAGGGGTGGTGCGCTTGGCCTGGCGGCATGGCAGGGGCAGGGGGAGGGTACGCGCACGCAGGGGAGATGGATGGTGAGGAAGGACGAGGGAGCGAATGGAGCAGGAGGAGGTGGCAGATGGGGGTGAAGGTTTGGGGGATGCCAGAGAAACATGCAAGCAACGCGTAACGAGGCAGCATGGCGAGGCAGTGAGTAAAAGCAGGTACGCGTAGATCAAACCAGGATGGGACAGAGGGGGCAGGGTGAGGGGCGCACAAGGCAGAAGTATCGTGGTCGCGAGTAGGGCAGAGCGAGGTCGGTGGGCGTGAGAAGGAACTCGTGCAGCGACGTGAAGCCCGTGCCCGCTAGCACGCGCACCAGCTCATGCCGCGTGCGCGATGACTGGCGGTGGGGGGGTGGGGGACAGGGGTGGGATGTGACAAAGGATGGGGAGAAAAAGTAGGTTCAGGGTCTAGGTTGTGGCATGGTGGAGAGGGTAGGCAGGTTGGTGGTGTTCGGGAGTGGGGAGCAGAAAAGTGTGGCGAAGAGAGGAGGGGGAGAACATGAGTGCAAAGGAGGGAGGGACGCTGAGCAGAAGGAGCGTGGAGCGGTGGTGGCAGGCAGTGAGAGAGAGCGAGCTCGAGAAAGCAGAGACCTCGAAGCCAACGACGTTTTCAACAAGGATGAAGAGCGGCGGGTGGTGCATGGCGGGCAGGCGCTGCAGCATGGCCAGGAACGACGTCGCCCTCCCATCCTCACAGTCGCGCCGCAGCCCTGAGGGGGGGAGGAAATAGGGGAAGAGGGCAGGAGAGGGGGGGAGAGGTGTGTGCAGATGGTGCATGGGGGTGGGGGTTATGGAGGGCCATTGCATGGCAGTGTGTGTGAGGGCATGGCAGGTACATTGTCAGGCATGGCATGGCAGCATTGGCTTGGCCTTGCACCGCAATGTTCCCAGCACTTGCCAGCATGCATGGCAATGGCACAACCCACTCTCCCACGCCTGCTCCTGCATGCGCATGCCCCTTGGGGTGTTGCCTGCACGCCCCTGTGTTGTGCAGCACCTCACCTTGCCGTGTGTACGGCTGGCAGGGCGGAGACATGAGCCACGCGTGTGCTCGCCACGCGTCCAGTGCTGCTGCTGACATGGTCTGCACGTTGCCCTGCCACGTGCGCACAGGGTGGAGAGGGGAGGGGTGGGGAGAGGAGAAAGAGGGGGGGAGGAGATACAATGGTGGTAGCGGCGGAAGAAGCAACCATGCAGCAGGCGCGCATAGCAGCGAGCTGCGCGCACATGCGCTCCGCGAATGCCCCCTTCCGTTACTCCTTGCACCCTCAACCTTCAACCCTGAACCCAGAACCCTCTCCCCGCGGCGCGGCGGCGTGCGCGCACCTGTTTGGGGCGGTAGCGGAAGTTGCGCGCACCTGCTTGGGGCGGTGGCGGAAGTTGCGCGCACCTGCTTGGGGCGGTGGCGGAAGTTGCGCTCGTACACGTCGTTGGCGACCTCGTTGATATCGAACGCCGCCACCACGCGCGCCGTCACGTGCGCCGGCACCACGCCGGGACACTGCAGCCCGTAATGCTGCGCGCGCGGGGAGGCAAGGGGCGGGGCGGGTGGTGCGGGAGGGCGTGAGGGAAGAAAAAGAGGGGACGATCTGGGAGCGGGACGGGCGAGAGGGAGACGAGGTGGCGGGGGGTCTCGAGGGACTATTGCGGGCAGCACGTTGGCAGCAACGCGAAGAGAGCTCAACAGGCAGGCTCGCGCAACTGCATGCGCGCTACTGCATGCGCGCAACTCCGCATGCGTTATCGTACCAGACCGCCGATACCGCTGTAGAACTCCAACACGCGCAGCTCCGCACCCCTGGTAAGAGAATCCTCTGAAGTTCCCCCCGTCGCCATTTCCGCGTCCCTACCGCTGCCCCTGCCGGCGCCCGCGCTTCCATCCTCCCCCGCGTGGTCCGCGGCGTGCGCGAGCTCCGCGCTGTTCTCGCGGTCGGCCGGCGGCGGTCCCATCTTCCCCATTCTCGCCGCCGCCTGCTGCTGCGCGTACCGACGGTAGACTCGTGAGAGCTGCGACGAACGGTCAAAGTGAGCTCTACCAAGTGCGAGGCGCTATATCGGAGCGCGCTACTTGAGTGAACGGGTATCGATTTGGGGTGTTGGTTTGGAACATGATATGGTACGGTAATCGAAAGCACCATTTCACCCTAGAATGGGTATGCTATACTATTGGGTATTTTACACCAATTGTGCAACATGAATAGAGCCCTTGCATGCTCTTGATGAAACCGTTAGCAGGAGCACCTTCTGGTACCCCATAGCATTATGGCACATATAGTTGCTTATAATCTCATATAGACGGCTCAACACAACACAGTAAGGAGATACTACACATGCGATGTTCCCTGCAGGTCATGCGTGCCGCTGTGGTGCTGCCTGCGCTCCTTCTGCCTCTGCTTGAACACCTCCACTTGCTGCAACAGCTGCTTGCACACATGCAGCACGCAGCACGCAGCACGCAGCACAGCACAGCACAGCACAGCACAGCACAGCACAGCACAGCACAGCACAGCACAGCACAGCACAGCACAGCACAGCACAGCACAGCACAGCACACAGGTTGCCATGGACACACAGCCTGGTCACTAAACACGATCACGGTGGTCCACGATGGAATCGGGTAAAGGGCGTGGAGTGGACAGAGATACTAGCAGGGGAGCAGCTGTGCATTCAGTGAGCAGAGAGACAGGATGATGCGATTGGCACGCACGGGTGAGAGGGCATATGGCGGTTGGGGCAGCAGTGGCGGGGACAATAGTCACGTGTAAGTATGAGACGTGTGTGTGAACACTGCATTACTGTCACCGGGAGGGCAGCTCACCTTAGCGTTGCGATTGCGGTATGTGAGCACATTGTCTATCAGCTTCGCCACCCTGCTCTCACGCATGGCGCAGGGGGAGGGGCAGAAACGCGCACACAGTCACACACACAGACAGCACGCGACTGAGATGGGCCACAGGAAGAGCAGCACTTGTCAAACGTCGCAGTAGCACTGCGATGCACGCATGCACAAGGTTTAGAGTCATTGCACGCCCGACTTGAAAATCCACGGGGGGGGGGGGGGAGCGGGGGAGAGGTTGAGCAGAGAGCAGAGAGCACTGACTTGCACTGCATCTCGGCGATCTTGAGCATGAGCACCTGCTCCTTGTCCGTTGGCAGCTTCACCTGCCATGCACACACATGCATGCTCCTTGGTCAACGTGGTGGGTCAAAAGGGGAGCCAGGGACACAAAGGAAGCAGTGCCATGGATCCTTGTGTTGGGCTGCTCTGCTCTCACCTGCATGCCTGCCAGCAGCACAGGTCGCTGCTGTGCTGTGCTCACCACTGCCACACATGCGCACAGCACACACAATGACGGCGAAAGATTCATAAGTACAATGAAGCGATACAAACATGCACGTCACATGCTCTGAGGAGATGAATTAAATAAAAGAGAGACTGAAGAGATGTGGGTGGCAGCAGTGCACGGAGGGGAGCGGCACCTGGGTGAGCAGCAGCAAGCTCCTTGATGAGGTTGAACAGCACCTCCTGCCATGCACAAGCACACGGGTACACGCACATGCGCACGCACGTACACGCACACACATCACAGCTCACAAACATGCGTCAACTCTTGTCACCGAAGACTTAACCACAACTCCTCAATTCTCACACCCACATGTCTCGTCCCTCTCGTCCCATATCTCCTGTTCTTCAGATATCATTGCCAACTGGCCACCAACCAGCCTCGTCGCTTCACTCGCTCCCCAGCGCCCTTACCCAACCCTGCTCCCCCCACCTGCTGTTCGCAGGAGTGCTGCAGCAGGGTGCGCAGGTGCGGCACGACTAGCAGTGCATCCGCCACACGGGCAGCGGGCAGGACCGGCAGCGATGTTGGCGGCACTGCAACGGGCGATGGCAGCAGTGGTGCCGGTGCTGGTAGGGGCGGACGGGAGGTGGCCTGGAGGGGGAGGTCGCATGGGTACAGAGCACACGCGGCAGATGGGTGCATGGCGCATGCAGCAGCAGCAGCAGCAGCGCCATTACTAGAGGAGGCGGAACAAGGTGCGCAGCGGATGCATGGTGGCATGCATGCCAGTGTGCAGGCATGGCCCATGAGACACAAGTGCACGCGGAAGGTACGGCAAGCAGAGCACATGCCATCCCGTGCCGCACCACATGGCAACAGAGCAACAGCTCTCAGCAAGTGGCCCCATGCTCTCAGCAAGTGGCCCCATGCTCTCAGCAAGTGGCCCCATGCTCTCAGCAAGTGGACCCATGCTCTCAGCAAGTGGACCCATGCTCTCAGCAAGGGGTCACTTGTTGAGAGCTGCTGCTGTGGTGGTGGTGGGCAGGGCAGGGCATGAGGGGAAGAGCAGCGAGCACCTGATGGGCGGAGATGCGCCGCGCAGGGAGGAGAGGCGGCGGCGTGCAGACAGAAGGCGGATGTATGGCGAGAGGCGCACGCGGAAAGAGCATGCCTGGGGGAAGCAGGCGCGTTGCCTGGGGGAGACACGGCACCGGAAGAGGCAGGGAAGGATGGGCGTGAGGAGGCCGAGATGCCAGCAGACGTAAGGAGTCTAGGAAACCCCTTTCACCACGGAGTGCAGAGGAAAAGTCGTTGTCTTGGAACAAAAAGGTGGGCGGGGAAGAAGGGGAGGGGGGAGGGGAAGGAGGAGGAGGGTACCTGAGGGTGGGGCCGGTGCATGCTGGCTGTGCACACGACCGTGGGCGGCACTCCGTCCTTTAGGGAGTGGGTAGGGTGGAAGGGCACATACAACAAGACATGCAAGCAACGTTAGTCTTTGCATTCACAGTCTAATGCCTGCCTGCACCCCATCGTCCCTTGAACTCCCACCACAGAGAAGGCGTAGAGTGGCACGGGCAGGTGAGCGCGGCGCGGCAGCAGGGACACGGATGGACAAGGAACTGCAGCGCGCATGGGCCCATGGGGGTGCACCTGAGCGTCCACATCATCGGTGGTGACGGAGAATCGCCCCCTGCGCTGCACGCCCACTCGCCCCACACCCCGCCCATGCGCCTGCCCACGCTCCCTCTCCTGCCTGCCCTTCTCCTCCTCTCTTCCCTTCTCCATTCCCTTCTCCCCCTCCCGCCCCCTCTCCTCCCGGCTCCTCCCTGCCCGTGCACTCTCCTTCCCAACGCTTTCCTCCTTCCGCCTGCCCTCTTGTCCCCCTCGCCCCTGCTCACTTCGCTCCTCACCCATCCTCTCCTTTGTCTTCTCATCACTCTTCCTCGCCTCCCACTCCCTGCCCCCACTCTTCATATCCTTGTCCACCCCACCAGCCCTCCTGCCTTCCGCCTCTCTATCCAGCAGGTTCCTCTCCTCCCGCCCTTTTTCCTCGCGCCCCCTTTCATCACGCAGGGGCCTCTCCTTCCACCTGTCCTGTCCGTCGCCTGTGGGAACAGCCCCTGCACACACACAGCAGTAGAGGGTAGCGGGAGGGACGGGCGGTGGGCGCAAGGGAGACAAGTCAGTCAGCTGCAGGGTGCATCCAGGCAGGTGGCGTTGGCAAGAGCAGTACATGCGGTAGGCAGTGGGGTTTCAAGGTGCTGAGCCGGATGAGAATAGAAAGAGAACGACATGATTCTCAGAGAAACGGAGCAGAGCAGAGCAGCTGGGGTTTGCAGTGGGAATTATGTGCAGCTTGGGTAATATGGCATGGCTGCCCCAACGACAGCCACAGACCTCGCTTTGGAGTACCACTGGAGGCAGCAGCAGCTGCTTGCGGGTGGGGGAGGGGAGCGGAGCGAGAGACCATGGACCCTGGTGCCTTGCCGCGCACACCACCACTGCCTGCTGCTGCTGCTGGCCCTTCCTCTCGCTGGCTCCTGCTCACACCACACATGCCACATATGCACGCATGCAGAAACGCACAACCACAACACTCAGGGGCGAGCAGGCAAAGGAGAAGGAGCCTGTGCGCCTGTGCCACACATGTCCAAGAGCGAGCACAGTACGTGGAATGTCAGCTGAATGAGTGTTTCACGATCGCACGCACCTGTCGATCATGTCCACATGTGCACTCCTCCTGGCCCCTCCCACGCCAGCAGCAGCAGCAGCCTTCTCCCCAACCAGCGGCTCACTGCGCGCCTTGGCCCGTCCCGCTCCCTCCCTGCCTGCTGCCCCGTCCCTGCCACTCCCGCCGCCGTCTCTCACATCCCTTGCACCCGCCCACCCGTCCTGCCTCGCGCCCTCCTTGCCTGCCCACTCTTCCACCACCCGCTCCTGCTCTCCCCTCGCATACCCCTCACCCAAATAACCTCCGTCACCCGCCTCTGCACCTGGACCCCTCTCCCACGCCCCTCCCACCCCTCTCCCCGCTGCACTACCGCCGCTGCTACTACCTGGTCTCATCACCTCTTTGCACAGGCTTTCACTGCTGCCCGTGCGCTGCTGCCCGCCATCAAACGCACTGCCACCGCTGCCGGTGCTCCTCTGCCCTGCATCCACGCCGCTCGCACTGCCGCTGCTTCCCCCTGTGCCCCGCCAGCTGCCCCCGCCACTGCCGCCCTCAAAGCGCAACGGGCCCGCAAAGCCAGGCAGCGGGCCGTTGCGCAGGTCAGCAGCAGTGTGGGGAGGGGCGGTGGGGGAGCGCGAGGCGGGCGAGTAGTAGGGGCTAGAGGAGGAAGACGCGCTGCCGGCTGTGGAGATGCGCCGCACTGCTGATGGCGTGGCCCCCTTCCCTGCTGCTGCTGCCCCTCCCCCTGAACCACTTGCACCAGCTGCCGCCGCCGCTGCCGCTGCTGCATGAGCGGCAGAAGCGGCTGTTGCTGCAGCTGCAGTGAAGGGCGATGGGCCAAGCAAGGGACCTGAGGATCCGGCAGGCGCTGCTGTTGGGGTGCCTGAGGGGGTGGTGGCGGAGGGCCAGGGCGACATATCGGACTCACTGTCCGACTGGTCGCCCTCTATCACTTGAAACCGCCCCCTGCACGCATGCACACACAACACGCACACGCACACAGTGCCTCAGCTCCTGGTTACACAGTTATACGCATCACAGTGGGGCAACGATGCATCATGTGGGCAGCAGAACGTCACCTCGTGGATAGAGCAGCACGGAGCTCACCTGGTGATCCCTCCCTTGTGTGCTGGCAGTGGCCCAGATGCCGAGCCAGTGCGAGGCTTGGCTTGATGCGTTGCGTCACTCATCGTCTGCAATCCACCACAGGAAACGGACACGCACATGCATGCACCATGGCGCAGCACAGAAGTTTTTGGATTTGCGCTCTGAAAACACCACAGCGAGTCATACCCAACGATTCACACTAGCAGCCAAGTATACTGATTCACAAAACGCCCCCCCCTCCCACCACCGTTGATTAGCAATCACAAGCAACAACAGCGCTCGTACCCCCTTGAGTCTCGGTGTCCGAATGGGCGACTTGCTTTCAAGATCCGCCATGGTGCCATCCGACGATCGCCTCACCGCACCTGCGCCGTGCTGCGCCACGTCAACCGCCGGTCCTGCCTGCTTGCGCATGCTGCTCACACCAACAGCCACGCTCTCCCTGCACCGCTCGCCCCGCCGCCACTCCACCACCACCTCGCAGTCCGCCTCGTAATCGCGCGCCGACTCGACCCTGTAACTCCCGCGGCTCCCGCTACCCTGCCCTCCACCTGCTTCTCTCCCCGCCGCGCGCTCTCGCCCCTCGCCCCCTACCAGCCCTCCGCCTCTTCGCGCAAGTGCTTCACTCGCGCCGGGCCTTCCTCTCGCTAACTCTCCGCCTCCACCGCAGCCGCCGTCGCCCGCGTCTCGCTCCCTGTCACTCGCACCACCTGCTTTTCCGAGATCGCGCCACTCGGACGCGGCAGCGGGACCGGAAGAAACGGCGCTGCTGCTAGGACCGGCGCTAGCACTGGAGCTGCCACCCTTGCGGCCTGAATTGGACGGCGACCGGGATCGCGGACGGGAAGTCGGCCGACCGCGCGGCTGGTTAGAATGGTGATAGAACTGTTCTCGCGACTGAGGTTGCGACTCTTCGTGCGAATACGAGCGCGCCTGAGGTCCAAAGGAAGTGGCGGTGGTGGTGTAGTGGGAAGAGGAGCGTGCTCGCGGTGAGGTCTCGAGGAAAAGTGGATCTTGGTTTGGTGTTGGTTCGGGAAGCCATGTTGCCATGGCTACGGCCGAGGCTGCCTACCGAGGTTCGCAACCATCCATGGTCGCCGCGTGGAAAGCCGCCGAGCCCATCTGCTTCGAGTGACGCGACGTCGCTGAGAAGCGAAGAGTCGCAAGGGAATCTGTGGACAGAATCGCATGCAGCGACGCGACGAGGTTAAGGTTCAGCGGAGGTCCGGAAACACGCCGCAACCTTGGTGGTTTCCCCGTGCCTGTGAGAGGGTAGCCTCAAATCAAGCAGCTGAATGCGGGACCACGCAGGAAGAGCGGCCTGGTTGCATGACAGGACAGCGAGTGACTGACATTGAAGGATAACCTCGAGGGAAGATATGTGGCATGCCCTAGAGAGCTCCAGCCCAGCCAGTCCAGTAGATGTCGGTACATATGACTCGCGAAGATGGGTTACGGACGATCAGGTGCGAAGTCTGCACATACTGATGCGATTTGCGAAGGATTTGAGGTTACAATGTTGGAGGGCAGTCTATCAAGACCAAATCGGCATTGTAACCTCAAATGAGCCGACTTTGGCATTAGTGCTACAGTCGGTGCCCATTTCAAGAACAACAGGTAGGCGGGCGGCATGTGCGTGAAACGAGTTTGAGTCGTTTCGCCACATTCTCCCTTGTCGCCACGGGCAAAAATGTGACTGTAATATGAAATTGCAACGTGAATCGAGTCAAGGGTTTTAATTTCGTAACCAGGTTAACTTCTTTGATGACGGGCAACCGTTGTTGTTTATTTACTGTTGTTACGAGTGCAATTGAGTGAGCGAACGAGAACTGCACTATCGAAGCAAGAGTACAATGAGCGAAGGCATGAGCGAAGAATATATAGCGAAACTACAGTGGTAACGGTAATGTGTGGAAAATGGGGTGCGCGACGGGCCTGGTGCCGAGGTTGGGAAAGTGTCGAGGCGGAGGTCCGGAGCGCGGGTTACCAACCGAACCGTGAGGTTGGGTCGCGTCGTGAATGGTGGCGAGAATGGTGTCGAAGCGAGTGTCGCGAATGGTAACGGATTACTGTTGGGTGCTGTGGGTGGGAACAGTGGTGTACGCGCTGAGCAGGGACGCGAAGTAAGGAAAAGGAAGTTTCCTTACACTACCCCCTCTCCCCAAGGAGGCCCCTCTTACGAGAGCGCGTGTACATCTCGGAAGTTTCGGCTTCGCAGATACTCGGTGAGGACAGGGTGTTTCTCAAGTCTATCCAGGGGGACCCAGTTGTCTTCGGTGGGTGTGCGGTCCTTCCAACAGATCAGGAATTCGATTCTGCGGGCTCCCCGTGGGTCACGTACTCGATGGCTCAGTATTTTCTCAGGTGTGATGACCGGCTCAGTTGGAGGTCGGGTCATGCTGGCGGGGCGGTTGCGGGGCAGTTGGCTGGTGGATGGCACGTATGGGCGAAGCAGGCTGACGTGGAACGACGGGCTGACGTACCAGTCAGCAGGGAGGAGGAGGTGGGCGGTGACGGGTGTGATCATGTGGCTGATGCGAAATGGCCCGCAATATCGGGGGCGGAGTTTCGGGGTGATGGGCAGGCGGAGGTTTTGGGTGTCGAGTAAAACTAGGTCGTCTGGCTGGTAAGTGACGGGGCGGCGGTGTCGGTCGGCGTTGCGCTTAGCGATGACGTTTGTTTTTTTTATTGCTTCTGCTGCTCGGGTCCGTGCTGCTTGTAATATCTCTGCGAACTGTTGTGCGCGTGGGACTGGGTTGTCGGGATTCGGGGTCATGGGTACTGTGGGGTCTTGTCCGTAGTTCAGGTAAAACGGTGACTGTTGGGTCGTGGCGGATGGTGAGTTATTGTATGCGAATTCGATGAGTGGCAGTTGCTGTTCCCACGTGGTCGGGTCGTCGCACATGGCCCGGATGAGCTGTTCCATGGTCTGATTTGTCCGTTCTGTCTGTCCGTCGGTTTCGGGGTGGTACGATGAACTGAATTGCAGTCGCGTGCCGAACTGCTACCACAGGTTCCGCCAGAAGTTGCTGGTGAATTTCGTATCTCTGTCGCTGATGATCGATGCTGGTATCCCGTGCAGTCGTACGACGGTGGCGATGAAGAGGCGGGCTGTTTCTTCGGCTGTGATTGATTTCTTGCAGGCTGCGAAGTGTGCCATTTTCGTCAGTCGATCGACGACGACCAGGATCGCGTCATTCCCACTCGTTCCGGCAGGTAACCCCGTGACGAAGTCCATCGTCACCTGCTGCCAAGCACGCTCTGGGGGTGGGATCGGCTGCAACTGTCCTGCCGGCCGCTTCCGTGATGACTTCATGATCTGGCAAGTGGGACACGATGCCACGTGTCGTTGAACGTCGGTCAACATTTCGGGCCAGTAATAATACCGCTGCAGCTGCTGCCGTGTTTTCTCTACCCCGAAATGTCCCGAGGTAATTCCGTCGTGTGCCTCCTGTAACAGTAATTCCCGTAGCAGTGTGTACCCCGGTACCCAGATGCGGTCGGTCCCGGCTTTTACGTAATAGACTCCTTTTGCTGCTGTGAACTGCTGCGAATTTCCTCCTGTGAAAAATGGGTCCGTTTGGTATCCGTGGGTAAATAGTCCGGTCAGTAGCGGGCTGGTCTGGGCGAGTAGTATCGCGTGGATCTGGGCAGTGGGTCGGGTCAGTGCGTCGGCGATGTTCGAGGCTCCCTTTTTACAGGTGACCGTGTAATGAAAATTGGACTCGAGGAAATCGAGCCAGCGAATCTGTCGTGGGTTGAGGTGGGGCTGTGTGCGGAGGTACTGTAGTGATCGGTGGTCTGTCCGTACTGTCACGTCTGCGCTGGTCAAGTAACAGCGCCATACTTTGAACGTATGCACGATCGCGAGCATTTCGCGGTCGTGTATCGGGTAGTTTTTTTCGGACGGATGCAGCTTTCGTGACTCGTATGCGATAGGCTGTAGGCCGTTGCCGAAATCCTGTAGCAGTACGGCTCCAATGGCGATGTCGCTTGCGTCTGTAATAACTTCGAAAGGGCGGTGTGGGTCAGCGATGCGCAGTACGGGCGGGGAGCAGAGGACGGTTTTCAGGGCAGAGAAGGCAGCATGCTCTTTCTCCCCCCACGTAAAAATGACCCCCTTTCGTAGCAGATCTGTCAGTGGGGCTGTTAATTGTGCCATGTCGGGGACGAACCGACGCACATAATTAACGAACCCTAAAAAACTCTGCAGCTCCGTGATGTTTGTCGGGGGATGCCACGCTTTTACCGTGTCCAACTTCTTCGGGTCGATTTCAACCCCAGCCTCCGAAATAACGTGCCCTAAAAACTCTAGCCTGTCTTGAAAGAACTCGCACTTGGAACCCTTGGTCAGTAGTCTGTGCTCGTCTAAAACCTTAAATACTGCTTCCAGATCTGCTAAGTGCTGCTGCTTGTCCCGACTGTAAACCAGGATGTCGTCGAGGTAAACTATCACGCATTTATCTAAGAGCGGCCTAAACGCCTCGTTCATGGTCATCTGAAAAGTCGCCGGTGCGCTGGTCAGTCCGAATGGCATCACCGTGTATTCGAATGATCCGTATCTAGTCCTGAAAGCTGTTTTGGCGCAGTCCGATGGTTCGACCCTAATCTGGTGGTAACCTCCCCGTAAATCTATTTTCGAAAAAACCCGTGCTGTTCGCAGTTGGTCTATCAGTTCGTCGGCGCGGGGAATGGGGTATCGCGATTTGACTGTTACCCGGTTCAGTGCTCTGTAGTCGATGCACATGCAAAACCCTCCATCTTTTTTCGGTGTGAACAGTATCGGTGCGGCAAACGGTGACGAGCTCGGTCGGATGAATTTCTTCTCTAATAGGTAATCTAACTGCTTCCTTAGTTCGTCGAGCTCGAGTTGTGTCAGTCTGAACTGTCGCTGTACGGTTGGCTGTGCCCCCGGTTCTAACTCTATGCGAAGGTCGTGTGCCCGCTGAGGCGGCAGTCCCTCCGGTAAATCATCCGGAAAAATCCCCGGGTATCGTTTCAACAGTTCCTGCAGTTCGGGCGGTACCGCTGCCAGCAGTTTCTGAAAATCACTCGGCTGCTCTGCTTCTCCTATCAATGCTATATCTACTGCGTACACGTCAGCTCCAGCGGCGACAGCCCGTTTCATCGTGACGGCGTTGACGTGGACCGTTGAAGACTCGGGCGACTGCCAGCGAGGTAGCACGACCCAGTTACCGCTACTTCGCACAGTGCAGCTACCCGTCGTCCAGTCAATTCGCGGGTTATACCGTCGCAGCCAATCACGTCCCAGTAGTATGTCGTGCCCCTCCAATGTCGTCGCGAGCATTTCCTGTGTAAACCCAAAGTTCCCCCCGCAGCGGACCTTTACTCTCTCCACTTTCTCCCGTATGGCCAGCGGCGTTCTGTCCACTAAGCGTGCATCTATTTCCGGTAAACACCGACTAAGTGTCAGTTGCAGCTTCCGTGCGGTTGCGGTATTAACTAAGCTGTGGCTTGCTCCTCCGTCTATAAAGATCTTTACTGCTGCTCCCTGTATTTTCCCGTAAATCAGTACTGGGCAATCCGTCGCTGTACCCTCCTTATTCATCCGAGCCCGATCGATAGCGTGAATCGGTACTGTGACTCGGTGAGGGTCGGTGCGGTTGGGCGAGTAGGCAGTCTCGTCAGTAGTTGGCCCAACTTCTACTGACTGCTGGCGTTTCCCTGCCTCTGAGACTCCCTCCCCTGCTCTGCTCCGCGGCGTCTCAGCTCCTCTGGGCATTCGCTCTTGCGATGGCCCGGCCTGTTGCAAGCAAAGCAGCGCCCCTTAAACGGCGCAGCAGCTGCATTTTTCGCAACGGCGTGTACAGTGGCGTGCTCGGTCGGTCCCCAAGGACGATGTCCGTAGTAGGACCCCGGTCTCGGTCGGCGTAGGATGTCGATTTTCTCGGCGAGCGCGAGAATCTCGTTGAAGTTCGAGAGTCCGCGCAGCATGATCTCGTGCGAGATATCCGGTTTCAGCCCTCCAACGTAACGGTCCACCCGCTCCGCTTCGTGCATGTAGCCGACTTGCTCGCAAAGTGCGAGAAAACCGCTCGTGTAATCTTGAACCGACCCGAGCTGCCGCCAAGTGCGCAACCTCTGACGCGCCGAAATAGAAGCCGCGATTGGCTCGAAGCGCGCCCGAAGCCCTGCGCACCACGCATCCCACGTGCTGTATTGGGCGGTCTCGCAAAAAGAACTCCAGGTGACAGCTGGACCCGTGGGCCCTTCCTCTTGCGACGGTGGCTCGTAGGCGCGTGGCGACGTCACGATGACTCGCCACCAGTCCATGGCGGGGCCCCTTAGCAGCGAAACGGCATACCGAATCTTCGCTGCGTCCGACTCGACGTAATTCGCGTCGAAGAAGACGTTCATTGTGAAGACCCACGATTGAACCGTCGGACCTCCACGCTGGCTCGGGTCGAAACAGGGCGGGCGTTGCGGCTTGAGTGGCATTGGTGCCATAATGGTCTGTCCGCCATTTGTCACTGCAAACTCCACGTGCCGACGGGCTTCGCGAGGCTCCCGCGGGCTTGGCGCAACCCTGTTTCCTCCCATGCCAGGCATTGGTTGGGCGGCGCTATCACTGGCTGCACCTGAGCGCTGTCCCACGCTGTCGTGCTGTGTTGGTGTACCGGACGAGATGATGATTGGCTCGTCCGATTGTGCAGGTGCATTTGTTGGTGCGTGTGGTGCTGCTGGAGTGTTCACCGAAGACTGCTGACGCGCGGAGTCACGTTCCGCCGTGAGCGTCGCTATTTCGAGTGCCGAATCTTCAACTTGGCGCACCAGACGGTCGAGCTGCTCCTGCGTCAAGGTCGCGAGATTGAATTCGGCCATGGTGGGGGTGTCGGGCAAGCTCAGCGATAGCCTCGGTCGTGGCCGTGCGTGCTTACGAGAGAGCACTACAAGCGGCGGTGCTGTGTCGCTGAGAGACGTCTACCCCCCCCCAAAAAATTGAGATAGTGGGGAAGCGAAGGTGTGGGTGCGGTCCGAGAAGAGATCGTAGGCTCTGAATACCAAGTGTTACGAGTGCAATTGAGTGAGCGAACGAGAACTGCACTATCGAAGCAAGAGTACAATGAGCGAAGGCATGAGCGAAGAATATATAGCGAAACTACAGTGGTAACGGTAATGTGTGGAAAATGGGGTGCGCGACGGGCCTGGTGCCGAGGTTGGGAAAGTGTCGAGGCGGAGGTACGGAGCGCGGGTTACCAACCGAACCGTGAGGTTGGGTCGCGTCGTGAATGGTGGCGGGAATGGTGTCGAAGCGAGTGTCGCGAGTGGTAACGGATTACTGTTGGGTGCTGTGGGTGGGAACAGTGGTGTACGCGCTGAGCAGGGACGCGAAGTAAGGAAAAGGAAGTTTCCTTACAACTGTAGATGTTTTTCTTCCTCAACTTGGTGACTGTACCCTGAAATCGGCATAATGGTCAATTTAGTCACTCACGGGCAAAACGTTCGCGAGTGACTAAATTTCTAATTGTGAGGAGAAAATGTTTTGTGATAGGCTGAGCATCGACTGTATGTTGCAGTCGGCGAGTCTATCAAGACCACACCACACAAACCATCCATCCTGAATACTCCCACTGAGAATCATGCAGCTGCGCAGATAACCTCCATGAACTAGCCTCCCGCACCCGCCAGATAATCTCGCGTGCTTCGCGCTGCTCCTTACGGAAATGCCGCGCAAGGCACTGCACCATGCGGACTCTCTTCGCTCCCTACCGTTCGCATTCGCGCTGCTCCTCTCATCAGTTCGCATCGACGTCGCTAGCGCGCGACTACCGATAGCCGCCTCACAGGGTAAGCAGCGGCACCCTTTAAGAGGCTAATTAGCCAATGCAGTGGAGTGAAGCACCGAGTTTCGTGTAAGCGCCATTTAAGTGGCACTCGGTAATCGTTTCATGCCCTCGATTCGCAGTCTGACACGGTCCGCAAGTCCTTCCGCCTCCTTGCGCGGACCCTCGTTGCTTCCCATCCCTGACAATGTGCGCTCACACAAAAACCGCGTTACCTCGGTCAAAGCAAGATTGTCTCCCCGGAATCTGCATGCCCTCATGCTCCTCACATCGCTCATGCCAGCTGCTTAATTTTCATTATCGTGTGCGCGCCGCGTCTAGTTGCCTCACCCGCTCAACCTGCAGCTCTTCTCCCCTCCCTCCGCGAATCTCCTTCGCGCATGCGTTCCCCCTTACCCCACCGCTCCCCGTACGCGCAGCCCCCGCCCTGCAGGCGTGCGAAGAGGCGTGGGGTACGAGGCTGCGGGGATGGCGGGCGGGCGCTGACTGCACCGTGGCGCAAGGGCTGACGTGCGATCCGAGCGGCATGATCTCCGCCATGTGCGCACGGTCTCAGGCACTGGGGGGGAACGGGGGGGATGGGCGGGAGATGGAGAGAAAGGGGCGTACGAGCGGTGAATGCGGGAGTACATTGGGGGTAGGAACGTTGGGAGGGAAAGAGACGGAGCGTGGGTAGTAAAGAAAGCGAGGGGGCAGGCAGCGAAGGGCGCAAAGGGACAGCAGACAGGCAGCGGCACCATACCGCGGTGCTGCTGGTTCAGCTTGCACAGGAATGCAAGGGAGGGAATGCACTGCTGGAATGGCAGTGGTGGTGCCGCACGTGACGGGACGTGACGTGGGCTGTGGCACCACTCACCTGTCTCCTCCGACCCCCTCTCCTCTCTCCCTGTCTCTGACCTCTCTCCCCTGCGCTGTGTGTTAGCGATCTGAGCATGAGCAACCTCACGGGCCCCATTCCTCCCGACATAACAACCCTCACCGCGCTCACCAAACTGTAACCCCCCTCGCATTCCAACTTGCCGCTCGCAACTTATTCGTCCCACTCGCTCGCATCATGCCATGCACCTAACCATATAAAACAACCCCTGGTTGTTGTTACTCCAAGCTCGCCCCCTTTCCCCATAGATCAGCACCTTCCAGCTCACACACCACCATCCCCTCTAACCACCTTCTCTGCTCGCCTCCTTTCCTCCTGACCTCCCCATTCTCTTCCTCGTCGTCCACGCCCTCCCCTGTGTGCCCGTGATTCAGGTCCTTGGGCGACAACAGCCTGTCTGGCGCCATTCCGTGGCAGCTCAGTATGTTGCCGTTGCTAATGGACCTGTGAGTGCGCTGCATACATGTCATGCGCATACGAGCTTTAGCCATTCCATGCCGCTCGCTCACGGAGTTGAGGCAGTGTCATGTCATCATCATCAGCCTTACCTGATACAGGAGGAATATGCATGCACCATGCCCGCCCACTCATCTCCTGCTCCTCCTGTTCTTCCTCAAACCTAACCCCACCTATCTGCTTGTTCCATCCATGCCCACAACCTGGGGGTTCCCACTGGCAGCAACCTGTACAGCAACAATCTCTCAGGCCCTGTGCCGCCACAGCTGAGCAAACTCACAGTGCTCACCAGCCTGTGAGTGCCTGTGCCACCGCACACACACACACACACACACACACACACACACACACACACACACACACACACACACACACACACACACACACACACACACACACACACACACACACACACACACACACACACACACACACGCACGCATGCAGGCACTCGTGCATACGCTGGCATCAGAAACCGCAGGAAGAAATGAGAATTGTGCTAAGCTATGGAATGATCCTAGCAGCGTTGAGCCCAGTGTGCTGCCCTCAGTCTCTACCTGCAACATGCAGCGCCCCTTGTGTCCGCGTGCGCCTCTCCCATTGTGCCAACAAGCCCATCCCCTTCACAACCCCCCACCCCCCCCTCCCGCACACCCTCGTCCCTCTGCTGTGTGCAGAGTGCTGGGCAGAAACCAGCTGTCCGGGTCTATTCCCACTACCATCTCTGCACTCGCAGCCCTTACCATGTATGATGTACCCCAACTCAACCCCACCTCCTCCCAACCACGTCTTTCTCTCCTCTTCCTTCGATTCAATAGCCCTCTTTGTCTTGCCGAGGCCACTTTCCCCCGTCGTTCTCGCCCGCTTTGAAGCTTCACATACTTTGTATCATGTGCACCGTCTCATGCATGTGCATGGCCATGCTTGTGTGCCCGTGTGTGTGTTAATCTGCATGCACCAGCGACCTGAGCAGCAACAACATCACTGGCAGCATCCCGGCCTCCTTCTCAGCCCACACTAACCTGCAAGAGCTGTGCGCCCGCCCTCCCTTGCTGCCAACTGAAGGCTCTTCAGTATGGCCTTTGTGATTCCAGTTCTTTTCCATGCTATCTTCTCGCTCTTTCTGTCTCGCCTTTGCAGCTGTCAGCCTCCTCGCACGTTACTCCTCTCACCTCATCCCCTGTCGTATGGCCGCTACTGCTGTGCTGTGGCAGGGACCTGAGCAGCAACGATTTGGAAGGACCCATTCCGGACTCCATGGGACGCATGGCTAACCTCACAGTGCTGTGAGTCGCTCGGGACAAGCAGGGAGGGGCATCACTGCATCAGCCATGTGCCTGCGATATGCTGCGCGCATGCCTTGATTCATGCTGCCGTCGTCGCCTTCCCTTCCCGCTTCTCCACCCCTCTCATTGCCCATCCTCGCTTGCCCCTCACTGCAGAAATCTGTCGAGCAACAAGCTGAACGGGTCCATACCAGCTGCCATCGGCTCAATGACGTCACTCAAGCACCTGTGAGGCCGTTACTCACTAAACCCCAATCCCCAACCACCTCTGCGCATCCCACCAATACCACTTTACACAACACAACCACACCGCTCCCTCTTCCACCTCTGCATTCAGCCGCACCGCACCCTCCTGTGGTTGTACCCCCCGCACAATAACTTCCCCATCCATGTCACATGGCGTCACACCCACTGCACCTGACTGGCATGTCCCCTCTGCTGCTGCCTCTCACTCCCCTGCCGTGCAGCTACCTGCACAACAACTTTCTGTCGTCCTCCCTGCCCTCCACTCTGGGTGGACTCTCCGCCCTGGTCGACCTGTGAGTGCCCACCCCACTGCACGTCTGCATCTGTTGCCACACATGCTGCACAGCTCGCTTGAAAACGTGTGCACTGCATTTGGATTGGAACGCAATACGACTCTCGTGTGCACCCTGTGATGGATGGATGCTACGGTTACAACAGAGTTCCGTGCTGCATTCTGTGTGCTGTGTGGTGTGGTGAGGTGCAGAGTGGTGGGCAACAACAGGCAGCTGAATGGCAGCATTCCCGACTCCTTGGGCAGCATCAGCACCCTTGAGCGACTGTACGCACCTCCTGCTGCTCGCACACATACCTTGCCGCTGCTCGCACACACACCTTGGCCTGCTGCAGTGCGTACGGCCATAAATCCATCGCCATACCAACTACATCCATCGCACCATCGCTTGCATTGTACTGCTCCACCATCCCAACCATGCTCATGCCATGCCCTCCCCCTTCCTCTTTTCTACCCACCCCCTCCTCCCCCCTGCCAGTGTACTCAGCGAGAACTCACTGCAAGGGACCATCCCCAACACCTTCAGTCAACTCACCAATCTCGAGCAGCTGTCAGTGCCCTCACTCCCTCCTGCACCTGCCACCACCCTTACCTGCAACTTCCACCACCCTTGTCCTCCCCGTGCTCCCTGAACTGCCATCTGGTCCTCTTGCTGCCATGTACCTCACAAATCACCTTCCTTCCACCCTCCCTCCTTTCTCCTGCCATGCCACCTGCCTGCCTGCCTCGTCCGCAGCGACCTGGCGTGGAACGGAATCAACGGCTCCATCCCTGCCTCCCTCGCTGCCATCGCATCCTCTCTCACCCACCTGTTCGTGCACGCGCCTACACAACCTCTGTCTTTCTGTCGCTTCCTCCTTCTTGCTTCGCCGTGTCTGTGTTGCTGAATATGAACCAGCGCCACGCACATGCATAATATGCCAGCTTGCACGGTGTGCTTTTGCACCCACATCCCTCTTACCACCATATTCTCCTGCCCTCCTCCACATCATGCATCCATCCTTCGAATCATGTGTCCATCCTGCATGCTCACTGAAGGCCCTGCTCTCTCTTCCTATTGCTTCACGGGCAGGCGTGCGTGCGTGCGTGCGTGTGTGTGTGTGTGCATGTGTGTGTGTGTGTGTGTGTGTGTGTGTGTGTGTGTGCATGTGTGTGTGTGTGCATGTGTGTGTGTGCATGTGTGTGTGTGCATGTGTGTGTGTGTGTGCTTGCAGCAACATAAGGCAGAACGAGCTCACCGGGTCTCTGCCTTCCTCCCTTGCATCCCTTTCCAACCTCGTCAACCTGTCAGTTCTGCACACACTCACCGCTTCCTTGTGCTCTCTTGTGCTTTGTTAAGTCTCCTTGTCGCCTTCCTGTCCCCTGCTCCTCACCCCCTCGCCTCTCCTGCCACCCACTCACACCTGTACACCATGCTCTCTTGTGCAGGGACGTATCAATTAACGAAATAACAGGGACCCTCTTTGACATGGCCAACATGACCTCACTCGCAGTGCTGTGAGCTCTCTCTCATCACTTTGAACACCTTTAGCGTCTCTGTAATCAATCCAGTCCAGACAACCCTTCCCAAGCCCCGTTCAATGACTCTCATTCCCTCCGTCCCCGTGGCCTCTCCATGCATGCAGCGCTGTGGGTTCCAACAGGCTGCAGGGCTCCATCCCAAGCTCCATCACCGCACTCCACATGCTCTCACACCTGTATGCCATTCCCTGCCGCTTGCACTCGTTGCTGCGCCCAGCCTGCACGCATGTCTGGCTCTGGTTAGGAAGGACTCGCCGTTTCTTCTTGCCATGTGCTCTCACTCATGCAGTGCAGGGTGGTGGCAGGAAAGTGCAGAAGGCGTTCCTCGCACAGTAGAAGCAACAACCGCCAGGCCAGGGATTGACAGCATGGGCATGCATGGGGCATCTTTGCAGCACTCGCACCCACTAGTCACCCCATTGAGCACATACATCCTATGCACACATCACTTCCTCCCTCCACTTACTGCCACTGCACTCGCTGCCACTGCACTCGCTGCCACTGCACTCGCTGCCACTGCACTCGCTGCCACTGCACTCGCTGCCACTGCACTCGCTGCCACTGCACTCGCTGCCACTGCACTCGCTGCCACTGCACTCGCTGCCACTGCACTCGCTGCCACTGCACTCGCTGCCACTGCACTCGCTGCCACTGCACTCGCTGCCACTGCACTCGCTGCCACTGCACTCGCTGCCACTGCACTCGCTGCCACTGCACTCGCTGCCACTGCACTCGCTGCCACTGCACTCGCTGCCACTGCACTCGCTGCCACTGCACTCGCTGCCACTGCACTCGCTGCCACTGCACTCGCTGCCACTGCACTCGCTGCCACTGCACTCGCTGCCACTGCACTCGCTGCCACTGCACTGGCTGCCACTGCACTGGCTGCCACTGCACTCGCTGCCACTGCACTCGCTGCCACTGCACTCGCTGCTTTGAAGCCGGTCCCCTCGTGCATTACCCATGGCAGGTCTCTTGAATACAACTCTCTCAACGGCTCCATTCCTGCAGCCATTGGGGACCTCTCGCTGCTCACTCTCCTGTATGCACCACCCCGCACACCACATGCTCTTGGTGCCCTGCACCACGGCACCTCATGCCTGTAGGCTCTAGCACACATGCAGAGGAGTCAACATTGTTTTCTCCCCACAATGCCATTCCTTCCGCACCTTCATCACCTTCTCAAATGTCTCTCCCCCACTCCCTCCCTCTACCCGCTCTCCCACGTTCCTCTCCTTGTTCGCTCCTGCACCCAATGCATGGCATGCCGGCACGTCAGCAACACAGGAGACAATCAGCTCACGGGGTCCTTGCCGGAAAGCATAGGCAACTTGACCAACCTTCAGTTTCTGTGAGCCTTGCGTACCATCACATTCCACTCTCTCTCTCTCTCAATCTCCTGGCGGCTCTGGCCACACCAGTGTATGCGTTTCTCAGCATGCTTCAGACTCCTCACCTTCATCTTCTGTACCACGTGGGAGCACCAGACACATGTTTTGTGGTTGTGGTGAGCGTGCAGTGACGCACCTATTCATGCCGCCATCCCTGCACCCCTGCACACCACCACCCATCCCCACAGCGATCTCAGCTTCAACCTTCTCAGCGGCGCTCTGCCTCGCTCCATCACTCAACTGCGCAAGCTCTCTTCCATGTCAGCTCTCTTCCATGTCAGCTCTCTTCCATGTCAGCTCTCTTCCATGTCAGCTCTCTTCCATGTCAGCTCTCTTCCATGTCAGCTCTCTTCCATGTCAGCTCTCTTCCATGTCAGCCCTCTTCCATGTCAGCCCTCTTCCATGTCAGCTCTCTTCCATGTCAGCTCTCTTCCATGTCAGCTCTCTTCCATGTCAGCCACCACATGTGCAATGAACCTCCCTTGATTTGCTTTCCTTTTTCCATCAACGCACAAACATGCCTGCCCGCACCTTTGCTCACCACTGCACTGCAGCCACATGACCAACAACAGCTTTTATGGCTCTCTCCCATCGTCTCTGGGACTGCTCTCACCCCTCCAGCTGCTGTCAGTCGGCCCCCTTGCGTCCATGCAACCCTTCACCACCCCCCCAACCCTTTTCCCCTTCACATCCTTCTAAGTCCTGCTTCTGTCTGCTCCGCGCCCTGTGCACCTCGTTGCTTCTCCACGCTTCCACTTCTCCTTTGCCACAGCGCCACTAATTTGTCCGCGCTCGCGCCCGCCACCACCACTGCTCATCCCGTGTGTTCTGTGCGCTCCTCCACATGTGCACATGGTGCAGGGATCTCAGCTTCAACCGCTTCTCAGGGCCCCTCCCACTCACCATCACCCAGCTCACGCGCCTTTCCTTTCTGTCAGTGCAACTCCTCCAACACCTCCCTTGCACTCTGCCTCACCATCTTTTCCATTTTCCTCCCCTTTCTCTCTGTTCTTGAGACGTCTCAAAAACACTCATTTTTTCACGTGGCTGTTCTCCGTCCCTCGCTCATACTGCTCTACCTGGTGATGCTCCAGCTTCGCTTTACCCCGTCTGTCCGTCTCCCCTTGCTGCATGCTCTCTGTGTTTCTCTCCTTCGCCCCCATTCCCTCTCTCCCTGTCTCCCCAGTGACCTGAGCGCCAACAGCTTCAGCGGTGTGCTGCCAGAGGCCATCACGGCACTGACCGCCCTTCAGCACATGTATTCTGCCCTTCCATTCCATCGCATGCTGCGCGCTAAAGCGCACCACCCTTCCACAATCCTATTTCTCATCCGTTTCTCCCTCTCGTTCACTTGCCCTCTTTCCGGGTGATCTGTCTCGCTTGCCAGCAATCACGTGTGCATGTGCTTGTGTCCGTGGCAGCAACCTTGTTGACAACCGTGACCTCACTGGTGTGCTGCCTCCAGGCCTGGGCGCCCTCACCGCCCTCACCATGCTGTCAGTCACCACTGCCGCCCTCCAACCTGTCCCCATCAACCCTGTTAAGTCGATCCTGCTCTGCTCACTGCCTTTGACCATTCCACATGTGTGTGCGGTTCACATACAGGCGCAACTAAGCAAATCACAACCTCTCTCTCAAACGGTCCTTTGTATTGATTCAGCAGGGGTACAAAAACATGCAGTGCAATCCATGATAACCTCTCTCTCTCTCTCCACCCTGCCGCGGCAGTGCTGTGAAGAACACCTCGCTCATCTGCCCCTCCACAGACGCCGCCTGTGACGTGCCTCAGACGCTGCTCTCGCCCTTCTGCATCCAGTGCCCTAACTTCTGCCGCCACTGCATTCAATACGGTCTGTCCTGCAAATATTTCACATCGCTCTTTTTATATTTGCATAATATTTGCACAGCGTGGCGTTTGCACGTGTACACTCTTATTCTTCGCTCTCCTTATCTAAGCGCATGGTCCCTGTGTATGTATCCACCTCCTCGCTTGTCGAAACAGGTACCTCTCCATCGCCCCCAGCTCCTGCAGGCTCCCAGCCTTCCTACTTCCCAGAAAAACCATTACCACCCCCTTCACCTGCCGCACCGCCTCTTCCCCCCATGGGTCGCCCCATCAACCGGCCTCAACTCGTCACCACCACCACTGTCAGCAGCAGCAAGGGGGGCCTGTCAGGGGGCGCCATAGCGGCCATTGTGATCGGGCTGCTCATTGTGCTCATCACTGCTGCTGGCCTCGCATACATTGTCATCACCCACAAGGCCGACTCGCCTGACCAGCAAGGTAGTTTCCGCCCCTCAACCTGCATATTTTCATATGGCGTTTATCCTTTTGATGCTGCTGTGTAAGCTCATCTAGGAAGCAGCCCATGCCAGTGGTCTTCGGAGCATTCACCACACTTAAAACCAGGGTGCACATTCAACGCGGTTCGGCTTGAGATGTTGGGAAGGGGGTTTGGAGAAAAACAGTGATTGGCTCACGAGGGGCGACAAAAAAATGATTCCGCTAGAGCTTCGGGCATTTCGTAGGTGGCGGGAGGGGGTGAAATGGCGGGAGTGGGTGAAACCGAATGGCGGGAGGGATGAAACAGATTGGCGGGAGGGGGGGGAAAACGAAATTGCGGGGGGAGGGGGGAAACAAAATTGGCGGGGGAGGGGGGAAACGAATTTCGACGGGGAGGGGGAAATGAAATTGCGGGGGCGTGGGGAAACGAAATTGCGGGGGAGGGGGGAAACGAATTTCGACTTGAAGGGGTTGAAAGCACACCTCGTAACCACTCAGTCAAGGGATAACCTTTGATGCACATTCAGCTGAATGTGCACCCCGGTTTTAAAATAATGCCTTGCCGGTTTGACATCATGGTTTGACCTCCTTGATCGCTGTTTCCCCTCCCTTCAAACACAGCAGATCTTCTAAGGAATGACGCCCCTTGGGACTGGCCCAGTGGGTTCAAATCGTCAAGCATACTTCGACATAGGTGAGTTGGGCTTCTTCGGGTTTTCCTTTTTCGTGAACAAAGAGCAACGCCCTAACTTCGTTTTGGAGTTTTGTCTTGCAGATCGCCCGATTCAAGATTAGGTATCACCTCTTTCAGCTTATTTAAAGCAAGGGTGCACTTTGGGGGGGTGGAGGCAAAGGTTTATCACTTGCCTCCACGTGGTTACCCGGTTTGGGGTTGGAAGTGAGACGCGAACAAGCGGCCAGTGTAGGCGGAGTTGCGCGGGTGTACACTCCCCCGTCAGTAGCGAAAGGGGTGCTGAGAGTTGGGAACTTGAGTTGGGGCCGCCAGGCACTTAGTGAACCAAAAACACATGAATCACAAGCCACGCACACGTTTCCCAAGCAACGAATAGCATAGGAACCACTGCCAACAGCGCACCGCCTTGACAAAGCATGGTTTTCCGGGAGATAAATAAGATCGCCAGAGCATGTCAACCCTCCTGCATGCACGACTTAGCACGAGCGCTCTCTCGTCGCTCTCATCGCGCCCAGGTTTAGCCTTATCGCATGACGCACTAGGATGCGTCCGTGCCCACACACCGCCTGAGCAGAGTGGGCATTTTGCCGCTAACGAGCACACAGATCTAGCCTTGAGCGGAATGGCGACCAACCGCGTGCGACAATGTGCGGGGTGGTGACTTGCCGCGCGCCACGGCGGAACGACGACGAGGTGCGTGCGACGGTGTGCGGAACGGCGACTTGCTGCGTACAACGGTGTGCGGAACTGCGTCGCGCTGCGTGCGACCGTGTGCGTAATTGCGACGCGCTGCGTACGACGGTGTGCGGATCTGCGACGTGCTGCGTGCGACGGTGTGCGGATCTGCGACGCGCTGCGTGCGACGGTGTGCGGATCTGCGACGCGCTGTGTGCGACGGTGTGCGAAATGGCGACGCTGCTACTTGCTGCTGCTGCTACGCTTCTCCGTAGCTAAGCTTCCTCTCCGTCCACCCCCGTCCTCCATCGCTCCCCATCCGTCTCTTTCACTCTAAGGCGCATGCGTCTCTTGGCGCATTGCGCATGACGGTGGTGGTTCATGGCGCTATGGCAGCAGAGCTCATCTAGAGTGCAGTGTAGTGGGAGAGGTTAGAGGGAGAGGGAGTGCATTCATGCCATGCGTGCGCTCCTCTCTCCCCTCCCTGTCCTCTCTCCCCTCCCTGTCCTCTCTCCCCTCCCTGTCCCTCTCTCACCCTCCCCTGTCCTCACTCTCTCCCTCCACTGTCCTCTCTCCTCGGATAAGCCCTCCCTGTTCCTACTCTCCGCCTCCCTGTCCTCTCTACCCTCCCTGTCCTCTCTCCCCTCCCTGTCCTCTCCTCCCCCTCCCTGTCCCCAACCCCCCTATCTCCCCTCCCTGTCCTCTCTCCCCTCCCTGTCCTCCTCTTCCCCTCCCTGTTCCTCTCTCCCCGCCCATGTCCTCTCTCCCCTCCCTGTCCCTCTCATCCCGGCCCTGTCCTCCTCCCTGTCCTCTCTCCCCTCCCTGTCCTCTCTCCCCTCCCTGTCCTCTCTCCCCTCCCTGTCCTCTCTCCCCTCCCTGTCCTCTCTCCCCTCCCTGTCCTCTCTCCCCTCCCTGTCCTCTCTCCCCTCCCTGTCCTCTCTCCCCTCCCTGTCCTCTCTCCCCTCCCTGTCCTCTCTCCCCTCCCTGTCCTCTCTCCCCTCCCTGTCCTCTCTCCCCTCCCTGTCCTCTCTCCCCTCCCTGTCCTCTCTCCCCTCCCTGTCCTCTCTCCCCTCCCTGTCCTCTCTCCCCTCCCTGTCCTCTCTCCCCTCCCTGTCCTCTCTCCCCTCCCTGTCCTCTCTCCCCTCCCTGTCCTCTCTCCCCTCCCTGTCCTCTCTCCCCTCCCTGTCCTCTCTCCCCTCCCTGTCCTCTCTCCCCTCCCTGTCCTCTCTCCCCTCCCTGTCCTCTCTCCCCTCCCTGTCCTCTCTCCCCTCCCTGTCCTCTCTCCCCTCCCTGTCCTCTCTCCCCTCCCTGTCCTCTCTCCCCTCCCTGTCCTCTCTCCCCTCCCTGTCCTCTCTCCCCTCCCTGTCCTCTCTCCCCTCCCTGTCCTCTCTCCCCTCCCTGTCCTCTCTCCCCTCCCTGTCCTCTCTCCCCTCCCTGTCCTCTCTCCCCTCCCTGTCCTCTCTCCCCTCCCTGTCCTCTCTCCCCTCCCTGTCCTCTCTCCCCTCCCTGTCCTCTCTCCCCTCCCTGTCCTCTCTCCCCTCCCTGTCCTCTCTCCCCTCCCTGTCCTCTCTCCCCTCCCTGTCCTCTCTCCCCTCCCTGTCCTCTCTCCCCTCCCTGTCCTCTCTCCCCTCCCTGTCCTCTCTCCCCTCCCTGTCCTCTCTCCCCTCCCTGTCCTCTCTCCCCTCCCTGTCCTCTCTCCCCTCCCTGTCCTCTCTCCCTCCCTGTCCTCTCTCCCCTCCCTGTCCTCTCCTCTCCCTGTCCTGTCCTCTCTCCCTGTCTGTCCTCTCCTCCCTCTCCCCTCCTCTGTCCCTCTCCCTCCCTGTCCTCTCTCCCCTCCCTGTCCTCTCTCCCCTCCCTGTCCTCTCTCCCCTCCCTGTCCTCTCTCCCCTCCCTGTCCTCTCTCCCCTCCCTGTCCTCTCTCCCCTCCCTGTCCTCTCTCCCCTCCCTGTCCTCTCTCCCCTCCCTGTCCTCTCTCCCCTCCCTGTCCTCTCTCTCCCCCTCCTGTCCTCTCTCCCCTCCCTGTCCTCTCTCCCCTCCCTGTCCTCTCTCCCCTCCCTGTCCTCTCTCCCCTCCCTGTCCTCTCTCCCCTCCCTGTCCTCTCTCCCCTCCCTGTCCTCTCTCCCCTCCCTGTCCTCTCTCCCCTCCCTGTCCTCTCTCCCCTCCCTGTCCTCTCTCCCCTCCCTGTCCTCTCTCCTCCTCCCTGTCCTCTCTCCCCTCCCTGTCCTCTCTCCCCTCCCTGTCCTCTCTCCCCTCCCTGTCCTCTCTCCCCTCCCTGTCCTCTCTCCCCTCCCTGTCCTCTCTCCCCTCCCTGTCCTCTCTCCCCTCCCTGTCCTCTCTCCCCTCCCTGTCCTCCTCTCCCCTCCCTGTCCTCTCTCCCCTCCCTGTCCCCTCTCCCCTCCCTGTCCTCTCTCCCCTCCCTGTCCTCTCTCCCCTCCCTGTCCTCTCTCCCCTCCCTGTCCTCTCTCCCCTCCCTGTCCTCTCTCCCCTCCCTGTCCTCTCTCCCCTCCCTGTCCTCTCTCCCCTCCCTGTCCTCTCTCTCCCCTCCCTGTCCTCTCTCCCCTCCCTGTCCTCTCTCCCCTCCTGTCCTCTCTCCCCTCCCTGTCCTCTCTCCCCTCCCTGTCCTCTCTCCCCTCCCTGTCCTCTCTCCCCTCCCTGTCCTCTCTCCCCTCCCTGTCCTCTCTCCCTCCCTGTCCTCTCTCCCCTCCCTGTCCTCTCTCCCCTCCCTGTCCCTCTCTCCCCTCCCTGTCCTCTCTCCCCTCCCTGTCCTCTCTCCCCTCCCTGTCCTCTCTCCCCTCCCTGTCCTCCCTGTCCTTCTCTTCCTCCTCCCCCTCCCTGTCCTCTCTCCCCTCCCTGTCCTCGTCTCCCCTCCCTGTCCCTCTCTCCCCTCCCTGTCCTCTCGTCCCTCCCTGTCCTCTCTCCCCTCCCTGTCCTCTCTCCCCTCCCTGTCCTCTCTCCCCTCCCTGTCCTCTCTCCCCCTTCCCTGTCCTCTCTCCCCTCCCTGTCCTCTCTCCCCTCCCTGTCCTCTCTCCCCTCCCTGTCCTCTCTCCCCTCCCTGTCCTCTCTCCCCTCCCTGTCCTCTCTCCCCTCCCTGTCCTCTCTCCCCTCCCTGTCCTCTCTCCCCTCCCTGTCCTCTCTCCCCTCCCTTGTCCTCTCTCCCTCCCTGTCCTCTCTCCCCTCCCTGTCCTCTCTTCCCCTCCCTGTCCTCTCTCCCCTCCCTGTCCTCTCTCCCCTCCTGTCCTCTCTCCCCTCCCTGTCCTCTCTCCCCTCCCTGTCCTCTCTCTCCCTCCCTGTCCTCTCTCCCCTCCCTGTCCTCTCCCCGCCCTGTCCTCTCTCCCCTCCCTGTCCTCTCTCCCCTCCCTGTCCTCTCTCCCCTCCCTGTCCTCTCTCCCCTCCCTGTCCTCTCTCCCCTCCCTGTCCTCTTCTCCCCTCCCTGTCCTCTCTCCCCTCCTGTCCTCTCTCCCCTCCCTGTCCTCTCTCCCCTCCCTGTCCCTCTCTCCCTCCCTGTCCTCTCTCCCCTCCCTGTCCTCTCTCCCCTCCCTGTCCTCTCTCCCCTCCTGTCCTCTCTCCCCTCCCTGTCCTCTCTCCCCTCCCTGTCCTCTCTCCCCTCCCTGTCCTCTCTCCCCTCCTGTCCTCTCTCCCCTCCCTGTCCTCTCTCCCCTCCCTGTCCTCTCTCCCCTCCCTGTCCTCTCTCCCCTC